TGCTGTAGGCTTTCCTAATATAAGAATGTCTGGGCTTCGTGCAGTCTGTAATAATTCTAATGGATATCATTTTTGCAGAAAGTGGGAGTGCGCGGATCACAAAACACCCTACTATAAAACCAAGAAAACGCCGCCCAGTTAGCTCAATTAATTGATAAGCGCCAGTCTTCTGAACGGGAGGTCGCAGGTTCAAACCCCGGCTGGACCAACACTAAGGGTCTTCAGTAACTGAGGGAGGGGGGTGAATAGGCGAACGGATCGGCGGATTTTGAAAATATTTTTGCCCGGATTTCGGATTCAAAGCGAGATTTTAACGGGGTTTCCGGATCCTGCAACTGCAGCGGAATGCGCATTCATCTAGTTTTTGGGCCCGGATTTTGGACATTGCGTGTAATACAAATATTTTTGCCCGGATTTCAGATTTAACGGCGGATTTGGTTCACAAATCATAACGGATCGACGGATTTGCATACCCCTATTCACCCCCCTCCTGAGGAGAATGTGCTGCCTTCGTTGTAACTTCTACAGATGGTTAGACATTCTAGTCTTCTCGAGTAAGGAAGAAAGACCGTAGGCCCCAACTCACAGCTCTTTCACTGTTCTGATTCTTGTGGGACGTAAAAGAACCCACACTTTTGTTTGTAAGGAGTAGGGGGCGTAAACCCCGGTGGTTTGGTACAAGCTTTCATGGGCTGGGTGGGTAATGAAGGTGTTTATATCAGTTGAGACGTAAGTCCTGTTTCACTGGCCCCTGTTACTGTGTTGAGTAATCGTGTCGAATCTCAATAAAGAAAAACAGAGCCTTCAGTTGGCGCTCTCTTTCTTTCTTTTTCGCAGGTACCGCTGGTGATTCCCTTGATGCTCATCGTGGTATGCTATTTTCCACCAAGGATCGTGATAATGACAAGGGGAGTAGCAGCTGTGCCTTGAGGTATAAAGGCGCCTGGTGGTACAGTGATTGTTACTTATCCAACCTGAATGCCAGGTCTGTACCTCCCGGGGAAGAAAGATAATGAAATAATTTGCTGGTACCACTGGAAGAAAACCTGGCCATGCTCCTCTGCAAAGAGGCCCGAGATGAAGATACGTCCGAAAGGTTTTTTACTATCTTAAAGGATGGTGGTGCTTTGTTTCTCTGGAAGGTTTTTAAAAACCTGTACCAATGAAGCGGAGTAGACATGTTATAAACAACAGTTTTGAAATTGAAAGTGAAGAATGATCATCGCAGTAAATTTCCAATTTAAGCAATTGGCAAGAAGAAGCCAGGAAAAAAAAATCAGGGCTTCAAGGGGATTCGAACCCGTGACCTCCGCGTTGCCGGTGTGTTGCTCTACCAACTGAGCTATGAAGCCACACATTGGGAGCGAGGTCAATTTATTGAGTTCATATCTCCCGTGAGGAGTGAAATGATGTGAACTATATATGAAAATTGACCTCGCTCCCAATGTGTGGCTTTATAGCTCAGTTGGTAGAGCAACGCACCGGCAACGAGGAGGTCACGGGTTCGAATCCCGTTGAAGCCCTGATTTCCTTTCTCTTTTTTTTTTTTTCAGGCTTCTTCTTTCCAACTGCTTAAATTGGAAATTTACTGCGATGATCATTCTTCACTAAATAAATACAAAAGCATTAAACCCCGAACGGGGTTATATGATTCTGATGAATATAAAAGTAATTTCTGCTTTTATCTTAGTTTGTAGGGAAGATAAAGATTTGCGAATAACGCATTCTAAATAAATCAGACAGAGAGGAAAATTTAAGGCGACTAGTGTAGAGTGTTTTGCATCTTTTGTTTGTGCACCTTAGAATAGCCAGCAGAAAGAGCGTCATTTTAAGGCGTTTTTTAGGCGGCAGAGGCAAGCGCGAGGGGAGCGCAGAGCGCGAGAGAGCCCTTGCTGGTGGTTGAGCTTGGATAATCACTTGTTGCATGATGGTCTCTTACGTCTTTTTATGTGCTGGTCAGCGGCAGCAGGACTAGTGGATGTTCCGGGGACAAAACTACAACCCCGATCAAAAAGCTCAAAATACTTCCGTTTTGGGGGGCATGCACATTGCAGCCACCTCGCCACTTTTCAGTGTTGTTAAAAAGCGCAGTTTGGGAAAGCGTATCTTATAAATAGTACACCGAGAAGCCATTTTATCCCCAACCAATCACTCTCACCACCCAGAACAAATGTTTGAGCACCCAACTTCCCACCGCCTTTTAAAATTGTCGTCAAGTTATCTTGAATTTCATCTGCGTTTCTTGTTACTTAAACCAAACGAAAATTCTGGAAGTATTCTCAAGGAGATTTGCTATCTTCAACAAGTATTCTTTTCTGTACAACTGGCATAACATGGCCTTCATTTCTAAAAGTTTGTTCATTTCTCGATGTTCTTAAAAGACAAATAATATAATTTAAGGCAGCACTACTAAACCACATATTATTAGGTCAATAAGTTATGATGTCTAAATTTGAAATGGAAAGTTTATATTGTAAACAGAGAGCATTATTTTAAAATGGACGACCTTAATCAACCAAAACATCTTCCTTATCCTACCTACTTAAATTTATCTTACTACTTGTTAAAATAGTCTAAAACGTTCTACTGCCCAAAAGTAGAACATTGCGAACAGATCTTGGACATCTAAAGAAGGTTCTAGGCTTAACTGTAACAATCACATTACTGGGTTAATACAGAGGTATATGTCGATCTATAAGAGTAACGTTGATGACGGATCATGTGAGTAATTTTGAAAGGAACTGAGTTACAGTCGCCTTTTAAAGGGAACCTCCACTTCAACAAAAAGATAACTTTAAATCACAGGAAATAACTGTTACAGTCAAGTCAATCTAAAATATTTTTAAAGAAAGCATTTGTATCCGAAAGAAATAACTTTTAGATTCGCCTATTTTTGTTTTCAAATTTTGCGGGCGTCGCCATCTTGAATAATTGTGAAGTGTTACGGTTGCCCTATTGTTATTAAACAAAAGCTCTTTGTGTCAGAACAATAGAGCAACCGTAACACGTCACAATTATTCAAGATGGCGGCGCCCGCGAAATTTGAAAGTGAAAATAAGCGATTTTAAAATTCACTTTTCCTGATATAAACACTTTTTTTAAGGACAAATTTCGAACAAATTTGTTTATCAACATAATTTTATTCGATTTAAACTTATTCTGTAGTAAGAGTGGAGGTTCTCTTTAACGAAATTGTGAAGAGAAATAAAGCAAAAATAACATACCTCGTTGGTACTTAATTTCGCGATTTTGGTGAGACAGTATTTCGCGGCGTTTTTATGTTCGCGATTTCAATATGCAAATGTGAAAAAAGGCATTAAATTTCGCAATTCAAGGATCTTAAAGTTTCTCAACTTCATTTTAGTTTTCTGAGTCGTATAGTTCTAGATAAACTGGAGCACGCAAAACACATATTTCACAAATTAACTTTAAGGTAAACAGGGAATCTTTGCAAATTAACGAACGTTATTTCACAACAGAAGATACAAAATGGAACTTACTAGTAAAAGTATATTTGTCGATATATCTCTTGTATATTATTTTTGTTTCTGTGATTTGAATTTTCTATATGGGTACTAAATTTCGCGTGTTTATTTCATTCGCGGGTCTTTAATTTCGCGATTTTTTAACAATCGCGAAAAATGAGAAATTAAAGACACGCGAAGTCAAGTACCAATCAGGTATGTTACCCTCGCCGAGAGATTGAATTTACTTATCACACTCTCAAAATAATGTTATTGATAAAATGTCTATGAATTTATGTAATTTTATAAAGTTTATGATCGGTTTCCCAAAGGCTCTCAGAGGTGAAATCGTTCCTCCACTTTCTCCGCAACCATTTTAGCGATGGACAATGAGGAGGTAGCCCCTGGAGAAGGCGCATTTCTCACGTGCAGGACTCGGCTCCCTATGTCCCCGGTACCTCCATCAAATACGAAGTCATCAACTAAAGTGCCATCACTGTCCATGGCCTGGGCACGAACTCCTGCGGGGCCTCTGATTGGTTAAAAATATATGTATCAATGTTATTATGGGATCTTTTAAAATGAGCATTTTTTTTAACTACCCCCAGCCGTGTTATGATGGTGGGGCCATCAACTGATAGTGTAGTATACTATCGTCACAGTACATGTTTTTGAACTAGAGCTGTAGGCTTCGCTTTGAAAGTGAAGTTTGTGCAATAAGCTAAGAAAAGGCCTATCTATTACTACGGACTACGGAAACTGGCGACAAGTTTCAAAACAAACAACGGGACATGAAGTGACGAACAGATGGCTTTCAGTTAGGGCGTGACCAATAGCGACCTTAAGCAACGACGACAATGACGGCAGCGAAAACAAATTTTCTTCCTTTCAAACTTTATTGCGTTTATTTGGACGCGCTTAATTTGTCAAATGTAGGCGATCTTCCTTGGATGTTGGAGTTAAATTGTTAAGGACTTTATCCAGGTTCAAAAAGAGAAAGGAAAACTCGCGGTTGTATGCTCACGTCGCTCGCATTGGGAGGTTTTACGTCGGAGTCGTAAATTTACTACAAAAAGCGTGACGCACGTGCAATTGTATAGTGACGTTGTCGTTATCGTTGTCGCCGTCGTGGTGGTTGCTTAAGCTCCCAAATTACTCGATACTCCTGCGTTGTCTATGAACATATTATTTTTAAGCCTTATGTTCATTTTAATCGAAACACATCAAATTGTTCCTCACCTCTCGACGTCCTCGACCTTTAGACTGGGTACATATCTCTGCAGTTGTTTGACTTGCTCAGATTTGACAATTCCACGGTAATATTCCCCAACACCAAACGTGAAATACTGAAACATCAGCTTTCTAAGACCTCTGAAACACAACAATCAAAAGACGATTAACCACCTCTTTACGTTTTTTTCTTTAGAAATGGCGCTGGGATGGGCAAGATGGTTAGTTTGCTTAATTACACCTTGGTACCAGTCAAGTCAGTCACCTTTTTTCCCGGCTTTGGTAAAAAGAAAAAACATTCATCTTTTGCGATTGTAAAAGGCCTTAATAGAGAGCTGAGGTGTGACGTCACGTTACCATGGTTGCAAAATTTCTGGATGACAACAATGGGGAGCTTAAGCAACGATGACGGCGACGGCAACGAGAACGGCAAAAAAGCAATAGGCTTCTATTAGCAAAACAACAACTTTGTACGCGCATCACGCTTTTTTGTAGATTTCCTAGCCGTCATTGCACGACTGCAAAATGAAACTTCTTTATTTCACGCGCCCGCTTTATAGAGTAAGTGAACACAACACAAAAATGTTCTTCTACTTTTTCTAAACTTAGATACGATCCTTTCGGATTCAACCTCAGGAAATTTCGCCAACATTTGACAAATTAAATGAAATTCGATAACATCGATGACGTTTGAAATAGTACGAATTCACTTTGTGAGTGACGTTTTCAGTTTGTTGGAATCCAGAAATTTTGCTACCCCGGCAACGTGACGTAACTACTTCTCCACTCTATTTTCCAAAACATAGAAAACCAAGCAGGTCTTGAAAAGTTTTTATTCGACACAAACGTCCCTCATCTAGAGCTCTGATGCATGTAACAACTGTCTTGAATTGTTGTGATACAAACTACAATGCTCTGACTATGGTGTTTTGGGCCATTGACTTTACTGTACTATCATACCACAATTTTGTCACTTGAGGCACAGCGCCAACTCGTGTTTTGTTTGTTTGTTTTTGTGACTTGGGCATAGACAACAAGTTAATGCTGCTTCAAGCTCTAAGCCCATCACGCCAATTGTGTGAGGAAAAAATGTGTATCCGGGCCAGACCAATACTCCTGCTTCCTTGCCCTCCTGCAAGCGGCTAGACCTTCGCATTACTTGGATGACCACTTCCGAGTTCCAAAAACCTTCACTTTCAAAATGGGGCCAAGTGCACAGCCTTTCTTGTGGAAATGAGTTTTATTTGAATGAGAATGAAAAAATCATTTCCATATCAAAGGCTGAGCACTTAACCTCGTCTTGATACAGAGGCCAGGGGGAACTCGGAAGTGGCCTATTGCGGTCCCGGCTTCCATAGGAAACGTGAAAATTGTGTCCCCAGCTAGTACGTTCATGCTAAATACACTGACATAGTTTTTCCAACAGCCCATTAAAACATAAAATAATAAAACATTGTTACTTTCTCTCCAACTTCCACTGTGTGGATTTCAAAGTCAAAAACACAGACAAACAAGGCGTTAACTACATACCGATATCCTAAAGCGTCTATCAGGTCTTTCACATTCACATCTGTTAGTTTGTATCCTTCACGTGCGAATGCCAAAACAGCATTGGGCCCAAGCCACACGCTGCCGTCAATCCGCGGTGTAAAATGGACCCCAAGGAAAGGAAAGTTGGGATCTGGTACCTACAAAGAATGAATTAATCCATTAATCGATCAGTCAAGTAACTAATTAATGAACAAGTGTTAAGTTGAATGCCAAGAACGGGTTTAACAGGAGGGACAGACTACCCTGTACGTTTTGCGACATCAAACTGCTAATGGCAGAGTCGTAGCTATTGCTGTGGAAGGTTTTTCCGGCATTCAACAGATTCACATAGACCACATTTGCTCATGTGCGCTTTTTGGTTGACAACTATCCGTGCACTGTATACAGAAAACGAAAACAAATATCGAATGTGTTGAAACTTTTGCGATAAGAAAACTTGTTTCTGGCAATTCTGTACCTTCTATGTACCAGAAGCAAATAATGACCACAAAACAATGACGTCATTAATAACTTACATACCTGAATCATATTTTTTTAATAAAAAATTATGGCTGACATCAAGATTACATGCCACTGTGATAAGGTTTATGCATAATTAGTTCATTTTTAAATTTTAATTTCGAGATCCTATCCTCGCAATTTTGCCTAAAGACGATACTTGAGCTTAATTATTATTAAAACTGATCTAGCTTTTCTTAATGAAGATTCCTTGCTCAGAAAACCTACCGGATAAATGTTTCCTTTGACTAGAAAGCTTTTCTCATCCTTGAGTTTCAGGTATTCTCCTCTGAAGGGAACAATCCGAGGGTCTTTCGGGCAGCCCGACTTCTCTGCCAGACGATCTGAGTATAAACCTCCACACGTGACAACATAACGGCAACTAAGAGGGGACTAAAGAATAGTTCAATTATGACTAGGGCGCGTTTTTAATTTGTTGTTGTTGTAGTTGTTATTGCGTTTGTTGTCACCTGTGCAATTTTCTGAAAACTTTCCTTAAAACTTCTAAAGTAAAGGAATAGAAGCCATCAACACAGTTGAAGATAGTTCAGAGCTTTTTAGGCAACCAACTATTGGCCGATCATACAAGAGGCAAATAAAATGCATCAAAAGTCCTTAGGCAAAACTATTTCTTTATCTTTTCGTCAAATGGCAGGGGCACCCAACGTCAATTTTCGGAAAATATCTGATCGGAAGACGATTTGAGATCTACAATTTTCGAAACATTTGTTGTAAAATTTCTTGCTTGCGTGCCTCTCCTAGGATTTTCGAACATCTAAAAAATGGTATAATTGCCCATTTTTAACAGATTTTTACCCTAAAAAGGTCACCTACAATTTTCGGGAGCATTTTTTCTGGCTGAAATTTTCCGAAAAGGTAAGTTTTGATCCCTATAATTTTCTAATCACTAGACTTTCAGCTAGGAAATCCGGACAGATGAAAAATTTGGGGGGGGATAAAAATATGCCTATATCTACTGTTTATATACTAAAATACGTTTAACAATGCTATGTTTAAGTGGTTTTGAACAATAATCTTGTTGGGTGCCCCTGAAATGAGTTAAGTTTCAACGAAAGTGCATATGATCACGATTCCATGGCAGATAATTACGCCGATACAAGAGAATAACACACGTTTCGCGGGGCCAAGCACTTTGACTGAACACACTAAAGTTGCGTATAAGAGAGTTGTTAAAATATAAGTGAGGGAGATCCACTACGCAAACACTATTAGGCTGGCAAGTACAAACAAGGTCCCAAATAACATGGAGCTTACCACATTTTTGCCGTGAACTGTCACTGGGTGAGAGTGACCTAAGGAGAATGTAAAACACCGATTAAGAAACAGTGCCAGGCAAAAGTGATTTTCAAAAAGCTTCCTTTGGAGGGGAGGAGAAGGGGAGAAAAGGGCAAGGGGGGGTGAGGGAGAGGAAAAAGTTTCAATGTGTCACTACTTGATTGGCATAATTGTGATCTTTTGATCCAAAGCTTATGCCAATAGAACATATTTCCTTTGATACCAGCATCATGATTGTTTCTCACTTAACGCATGTCAAAGGGTCACTCATTGTGGCTCAGCCAATCAGGAATTTGTGGACATCAGCAGACAAAGAAATGAACAAAAGTAGGTTCCTATAGTGGGCAACCTTTTCCTTCTCTCCCCATTCCTCTGTCCCTTTTCCCTCCCATGCCAGGAAGGATAAATTTTTATAATTGTGATAGCTTCCTATTTACAAATTTTTATTTGTATTTTTACTGTTGTACTTTAATAATGTAATTTCAGAGTTTTCTATGTATATTTTTAATATTATTGTAATTGTTAACTGTTTCATAATGAGGGCTGCAGGTTTGTCAGTTTACTGTTTAGCGTTACCCTCTTTAAATAAACAACTGATAATCATGCATCATAAAGTGATTTAACAAAACAAAGTTGGTATTTTACCTGCTTCTTTAACTTGTGAACGGTTACTCTCTGGACTACACGTGAAGTCTGAGACCTGAAAAAGCCATATCATCATTGAAAGAAAAACTTACTTGAGTTTTGGCCTAACACAAGTTCAGGCTGATAAGTTTCAATGAAAAATATATACGGCTCCCAGCATTCTCCAGTTAAAGGTAATAAAACTGGAATAGACTGGAAAGAATGATTCTGAAATTTTGTGAGGGGAGGGAAGCTCCAACCAAAACATTCTTCTGAAGGGGGAGATGATAACTTTGATATGGTTAGAGGTCACTCCCGTCCTTCCCCACTCCTCGTCAAGAACATGACACTGAAGTAGGTACATCAGATGGAAACAAGAGTAGCCACAAGAACTCTTCAAAATCAGGGTAGAGGAGAACACAGATAACTCCCAAACAATGCAATATTTATGAAACATAAGAGCATCATGGTACAAAGAATGCAAAAGAATAATGTTAATTTTGATACATAAACACATGTATTAAACAAATACTGACATATGCTTAAAAAACATTCCCAAGTGGCAATTCAAAAAAATGCCTGAAACAGTATGGTTTGAATATGGAAAAAGTATGGAGTATATATTGCTGGAACACACACCTCTTGTGGCCGGGTATTTTTTCCGCTGAAACTCTTTATAATTTTCAAGATATTCCAATAATTATAAAATCTAGGCAATCTTAGTCTTCTGTGTAAATCACCTCAAAATGGGCTTTCAATCCCATACTTTTTGCATGAATAAGGCCTCGTGACTGGGAGCTGCAAGCTAAGGGGCTATTGATTTACAAAATTTACTGTCAATTGGCTCTTGTGTGACTAGTAAAAGTGAAAAAGAGCTCCCATAAAATTCTGTCAGCCGATAGTCTACCAACAATCTATTGACAGACTACTGTTAGTGGTACATAGGGAAGATTAAGTCTTAATTAATACACCTTCAATAATATTCATGTTCACTCATCTTGATCTTACTAAGATAAATATTTAAGCTATAAACATTTTATCACTGTTTGACATTAACCTGACCTCAAATCCAGTGTAGATATCCCCACCAGCCTTCTTAAAGTCAGCCCCATAATTTCTGGCCACTTCTGCCCAGTCAAGAATCCCAGTATTGGGTGAAAATATGGCAGCCAAACCCTAAAAACAAAACAAGAAATGTAGAGAAACTTTTCATGAGAAATTCCACCATCTCAAGATGACTGCCTCTCTCATGACTCATGGACCTTTGAATGAGGCATCCTTTACAAGCACTGAATTACCGTCTGCCCATGCCTGCAAACAAACCATCAAGTTACAAACTGATTACATGTTAGTTTATCAGCAACAGAAGGACTTACGTCAAGTGTGTGTCCCAAATTAAAGTCTCTCTAACTTGGTATTCTATGTCTGCCACAGTTGGGCAGTACTAAAAACTGTATTACTTGAGTCATGAATCATGTCCTCAGTCTCCCAAGCACCCCTCAAATGATGACAAGAAACTCTGTCAACTGTTACATATCCCACCAGCTTAAGCAAAATTTCCATTACGATAAACTGTAACATTTTTATATTTTCCTGTGCATGGTTCAACGTAAACTCACCTCACAATAGGGTTCAACATCTTTTATTTCCTTGGAGTTTAGGACTTTCAGGTCTTTAACTCCATTCTCCAGACCTCGCTGGTACAACTTGTTAAGTTCTGGTAGTTCCTTGTTTTCAACAGCTACTATAATCTGAAAGAGAGAAATGGTGGATGAATAACACTACCGGTAATTAGTTCTTATATACATGTAAATGTTTTTCTACGACATGTAAATTTTACATGTGAATTATAATTAATTATTCATTTCTTTAAACAATTCCTCATTTTATTGTGAAGTGCTAATGACCTTTACAGAATTAGCCCTATATATGTGTTACTTATTATTATTATTATCAGCATGTGACCAGTGAGAATTAATTAAGTGATAACACTAGTCATTCCCAAACCACTAATAAAAATAATGAAGCTTTCTTCCTATCATTCTACATTGCAAAAAGAAATGTTCAAAGTAGATAACAGACCCATCCTTTCATACAACATACACTTCAATTACCACTAGAAAAAAAAAGACACCATTAGCCTAATGTTTTGGAAAACAGGACCACACCTTCAATATTTTTACTGTGATGGATGGAAGTTGATCAATATTGTTGTAACCCATTCAACCTTGAAAATTCTGCTTAAAAATGCCATTGGGAACTAGTTGAGCCTTTTCCTACTTTTCACTATCGACTGGCCAATAGGATTTAAAACTGCCCAAAATGTTATTACAAGTTGAGGAATAGGTGAAATTGTTCCAGACACCAAATTGTACATTTCAAAGTTTAGGCAGGTGAAGAGGGCAAATATTCAAAGAAGACAGTTTTTAAATGAAAACATTTGACTATCCCCTCCACTTTAGCTTTCACTTTTGCTCTTCCTTTCCTCTTTTTCATTTTCTTTCCCTATTTTTTTTTATGCTGGAAATTAATTTGGCTCACTTTTAGGTGGGACGTTTTTGTGGAAACCCAAAGTTCCTAAAATTTCTTTGAAGAAAGTACAGATGGGTTGTGAAACTAAATTTTCACTGAAAATTTTTTGGTCATCAAAAGATTTTCAAGATGTCCCAATACAGCATATCATGCTAGGAAATATCAAAAGACTGTAAAGGAACCCCGCTGTTTCACCAGCTGGGTGTTGACTGACATCATGTTGTAATCCAATCTCTTATCTTGCCCAGTCATTTGGGGAAACTTTGTCATTATGGCCGCTGCTCTGCCGGACAACTTAGAGGGTCCACCTTTGCCCTTGGGTTTATCACAATGGGTTCATTAAGGCATGTGGCACCATGCACAGGCAGTTATGATGTTAATAATGCCCCCCTCCCCCCTCCAAAAAAAAGATGGTGGATTCGCAAAAAAATACAGGGTGGTCATTAGGCACCAGATACAGGAGAATTCTCCATTTACTATGCAGAATTTTTATTCAGACATGGAGCCTCTTTCAAACTACACATATTCTCTTACAACAGCTTTACACCTTTTTTCCTGCTACTAGAATTCTTAATGAAAACCCCAAATATGTGAAAAAAAAAGATTTGTTATACTTTTCCACATTTCTTGTAAGGAATCTTCTTCTCATCACAATACTTGTATGCCAGGTCCAATCCTTCTACACACAGCTTGGCCTTCAAGGAGCCTGGGGTGTAGTAAATACCAGAATGGACAACACCACTGTTTTTACCAGACTGATGTACAGCTAGAAAAATCCAAGAAATAATGAAATGTGAGTGCTAGCTCTTCCTCAAAGAAAATCTAGGGGTTATATGGTTGGATAGACTGGGGTTTATTTATGAAATGGTAGAACTATGCTGTCAAAGTGGGGAAGGGGGAAGGGGGTTGGGACATGATTAGACAACGGCTACGAACAGTCCCTTGAATTGCTCTGATTAAGGGGTAGTGGTTGATGATGATGATAATGATGATGACAATGATCCTCCAAGATGGACACCTTTGGGACCGGCACTAAGTGTCCATCTTAGAGAGGTGTCCATCTTATAGACAGTCAAATAAAGGGAATAAACAAAGGCAGGGACCAACTCTAGGTGTCCGTTTTACAGAGGTGTCCGTCTTATAGAGGTGTCCGTTAAGAGAGAGTCAACTGTAAAACATAATAACCACATCCAGAGACCTAGGGTTAGTACAAGGTAGCTGAGCTCTATATTTCATTGACAGTGCATTTCTTAGGAAATGAAATAGGATATAGACTTGTTGTGGCTCTCATCCCCACAACCATTCAACCTTGATTTCAAAGTATTATTATTATTATAATTTATTATTATTATTATTATTATTATTATTATTATTAGGAGGAGGATGATGATGATTATTATGATTATGATTGTGATTATGATTATTATTACTACTATTTCCTTTGAGAGTATCATTACAGCCAAATTTAAGACTATATGCAACACTACCTTCATGCAAAAAGAGTCCCAGAAGCAACAAGTGACTGTCTTTGTACTCACATAATTCATTCTCTTTCTCAACAACAGCAAACTTTAATGTTGGATGCCTGATGATAAGTTCCCTTGCTGTACTAAGCCCAACAATCCCACCTCCGACAACAACCACATCATAAGAAGTCTGAGTTGCTAAACATCTGTCAAGCAAACAACAACATTATTTTATAATATTACATTACTTGTAAAAAAGAATAATCCCTGTCCTTTACTTTAAGATCATAAATTAAAATTTAAAAATAAAAGACAGACAATTCTAATTGACATCTCCCCTTAATAACTACTTGCTTGTCCTTGCAAATACATTCATTCACTCTTGTTTCAACTCTCGCAGGGTTCCAGCTAGCTAGAGGCAAGACAAAGCACTTGCCTTAAAATATAGATGTCAGCTGTTATCTTAGCTAGGTAGTTAAGACTAGACTTCACATTTTTTATAGCCGTTATCACAAGATACTAGCATTAGAATCTCATTTAAATCAGTAAAACCCAGTGTGCCCAGTCAATGAAATTTGATAAATTGAGCACATCAATTTCATTAATTTGATTAACTTTTATCGATTATATCAATTTCATTGATTGGTTTCTGATGATCAATTTTCATCAATTGGGCATGCCAGGAGTAAAATAAGAGAGTACAGTTCAATGTTTTCTACTCGCTGAGAATCTTGCTGAATCTTTGGAAGGTTGTGTATTTCTGGGATCCTAAGACTCTTAGCTTATACCTGCCATGTCTAACTGCATTTTTAATTTGTACCCCTGGGTAAAAAACCAAAAATCATCATCCTTAAATGGATTAACTTTTAACGAAAAGAAAAAAGACACCCTGCTTCATAGCTATCAGCAATCAATTTGCATTTAATTACACCCTATTCTAGTTTAAACTCTGTCACTTCTATACACTACTTTAGACTATACGACTTGAAACCCTTAACATTCACAGGGTCACCTACCCATAAGGTTCTTACGTAACAGTACCTCGAACCCCTCCCCCCCCACCCCAACATCTACCGGTTGCGATCAAAACACAGCAAGGTTTATTATTTATTAATCTAAGAAACTAAAGTCCCCCAGTTACGAAGACAATTTAAACCAACAAAACAAAGAATATTCAACGAGTTGGTAAAAATAGGTGTAGGTAAATAAATTTGTAAGGATCTTGCCTGGTTTGCAGTTGGGATCTTAACAGAGCGGTAGTCTTCTGAGCAACATTTCGCGGTAAAAGACAGCTTCCTTTCCCAAGCATCCTTAAGATCGAGTCAATTATCGGCTTATAATCGACAAACGAATTAACATCTTTACGAGGAATTCATCTCTAAAAAAATTTCAATACAATATTTAGTTGGACGTTCGTGTCGTACTGCACGAAGCTCAAAGTGGTTTGCAAAGTGACGTCAACTTTCAGTCAGGCGTTCTTTGGCTGTTCACTCAGTGGCACAGGATACCCAGATGAACCACAGAACACAATTAAGGCCCCGTCCACAAGTTTTCGGATATTTTTGAATCCGCAAATTTTTCTTTGCAGATCCAAAAATTTCTACGTCCGCACGTATCCGTATTAAAATCGAATTTGCCCGTCCACACGTATCCGACCAGCATCCGACCTTATCCGACCACGTATCCGACGATCCGACACCATTCACTCTAGTACCCAGGACTCATCTGGGAATATAGCATCGGTGGGTCGTATTCTGCCTCAATTTTATGACAGAATCGGCCCAGAAATCAAAGAAAAATGCGAAGAACAAGGTTAACAAGGTTAAGTCACCCGATAAAAAAATATCCCGATTTAGCTTCCTCACGATTCCGGATTCATTACGTAATCAAAAATTTCCACTCTATCTGGAGAGCGGATTCAAAACGTTTTGGATTCGTATGCCAGATTCAACGGATACGTGTGGACGGAAGCCGTATCCGGAAAGAAAAGTTGCAGATTCAAAAGTACCCGGATACGTGTGGACTAGACTCGCCGAAAAGAGGCTTTACTGGGCTACCAAAACCTTAGACTATATTTTTCTCAGATTTCTCTCCCGTATAGGTGTAATTTTCCTGCAAGCTCATGGATTATGACAGAGTTTTTCCCTCTTAACCAACGTGTGACTCGCTTTCAAGAGTCCAAGGGTGCGAAATTTCGCGATCTTTTTAGGTGGGGAACGTGTGTGTGAGTGGCTCAAATAGAACATATATCCTTTAACCAAAATGTTTTTTTATTATTATTACATCATAGTATTGGGTGAATAATTTTGTCCTAAAACCTTGCGATATCATTTACATGAAATAATTAAACATTCACCATTGAAATATAAAATGATCTGGTACAAATTAAACTGACTGTTAAAAACATCCTCTTATTTTTACATTTTACATGTTTTCAAGAAGCCGTCAACTCTTTTACACCTTATTGGGCAAGTAAATCCCGGTTAGTCTTACCTGGGGTGCCAAAGGTTATTTTTTTCTTCCCTAATTCCTGATAGTTCGCCGAGAACGCAGGGACAAGTCAGCCGTCCTTGGACGCTTCCCCGCACTATAAGAACGGCTGTCACTTTTTGACGCAAACCGTAAGCTATCCCATACCCAATGAGACAGTGAGAAGAAATCGTTGCGTAATTTTAAAGCCGTTCATTAAACTGTTTTGCTTCATGGTCTTAAGGGGAAAAGCTAGACTGTTCACAAGTCAACTATTTTTTTGTAAGATCGTCAGGATCGAGCGCTTACCAGTACAAGCGGCCATCTTGGTTTCATATATAATGTACCGAGGGGGAGGGCGTTCGTGGCCCCTAAGAAGATTTAACACTCATTGCATACAAGATGGCAAACCATAACGCAAAGCGCTCAATCTTACGGAAAAATAGGGGACTGTGAACAGTTTAGGGTAAAGCTTGCCCACACGTTAGTTTCTTTTTTCACAAGTTTCTTGCATCAGATTCGTCACCCCTGACTTGATTCACACGGACATTAAGTTAAGGTATCTACACCGGCAAATTTTGCACATTTTTGCATCATTTTTAAAAGTTACATTGACAGTATTCCTCAGTTCCTGGGGAACTAAAATATATCAAACTAAACTATGCTATGTCACCCAAAAGGAGTTAATTTCATTACCCCCCTAGGGTGGCACGGAAAGAGAAAAATCAAAGTTTCAGAAGAATCCTTGTTAAAAAAAGAAATGTAACACAAATAAGGACGTAGGATAGAATAATCCTGTGTTCGACAACGACACGGCTCCAATTAATCCGCCTTCTCGGGTACAATTTGCTATTTTGTAATTTGATCCACATTTTGACATCAATAACTCAGCCGTACGGAAATTCTAACCTTTGGTCGAACACAGATCTCTTCATCGACATGCTCTATGGTATTTGCCAAGTTTCACAAACAAATTTTTGCGCTTTTCCAGTGTAAAAAACCTTATTTTCTTCTCCTCGCTCCTTCTAGCCCGCCATTTTAAATCACCGCTGTGTAAAATGCTCGTGGAAGCCTAAAAATATCTTTCCTCTCTATAGCCCCTTAAATTTTGATATGTGACTAGTTGCTAGCTAGGTGTGACGCCTCCTGGAAGATGCGTGACACAGTGGGGTTTTTCAGAAAAGTGTGACGTATCAAGACTTTACCCCCCCACCCCACCCCCAAAAAATGACAAATGAAAATTGTACCCCTCCCCCGCTTTGCAATAACAATTTTTAAAAAGCACCCCCCCCCTCCCCCGCTCCTCCTCCAACCCCTTCTAGACCAAGTCTCTTCTTCCATCCTTGGACATTGATTTCATAAGCTACAGTCAAACCTCCATGTGCGACCACCTCTCGTAAGCGACTACCTCCCATAAGCGACCACCAACCCAAAACACCAAAATTTTCCCCCGTCAAAGCCTTACAGTTGGAACCTGTAGTAAACGACCACCTCCCGTAAGCGACCGCGACCACTTTTTTGGCCGGACAATTAATGATTTTCCAATGTTTTTAACATCTTGTAAGCAACCACTCGACTCAGTCTTTGATCTCTATTTTCGCTGTGTGCACTTTGTTACTTGGAATATACGAAGAACTTTAGTGACAACATGGAACTACACATATCCCAATAACTAATCTTCCATAAGGCAGATGTGCCTGGACCTCTTCTCGGAAGAGACCCCCCGCTGTTCGATTCTTGTAAACGATCCACCTCCCGTAAGAGACCACTCAGTCTTTGCATTTTGGTGATCGCCCTTCCTGGATACCGGTAGTTAGCAGCATAGTTGTCTATTTTACCCATCTCTAGTGCTATCGGTAAGGTACAGTGTTAGAGGGTGCGAATGAGGTTAACAGTTAACTGATATTTGGCCAAGAAACAGTAGTTAACTGATAATTGGCGAAAAACTTAGTAGTTAACTGATAAATGAAAAGTTAACAGTTAAGTGATATTATAATATTAATGTTAATGAAAGTCACAAACTTTTGCAAACAGAAATTCTATTTTCTGACCTTTTTCTGTCCCGCTGTTGACCCGGTGACAAACTAACTGATATTACTATGTGCAAAAGGCACCAGGGCAGTACCCGACAAACAGAAAGCGTCAGCCAACGAATAAGACAACTCAACGAATAATTCGTCTTCTACAAGATTTCTGTGTTCGGAATAGGATAATACTGTGTTTCACGGACCCAAAAGATCGTCAAGTTAAACATTACTACCCAAATAAAAAAGCTGTGATTCTTAGCATTGGATCTGGCAAAAAAGAATTTCTGAGGGTTCAAAGTAATCAGGAATCTTCCTTTTTTAAAAGAACATGGAATTTGTACTTACGAGAAATCATTTTTGCAACTTATGTTGGAGTTCTAACTATTGAGACTTTTTTTTAATAGAAAGAAATGCTCGTGTTTAAACCGGTCTTTCTGAAACAGTTTCGGCAGTTTCATTTCTTAAAACCCTTGGATACCTTCATGAGGCTTTTGAAATATGCGAATAAGATACGTCTGCGAAAAAGGTAACATTGAGGGAAGTGAAAGAGGATGTCGACAAAATCTGTATCGAGGTACAAACAACTTCTGACAACGCAGGCGGAAAACCTACCCGCGGTTTCTCACTTCAACATAAAACATTTAGTACTTTGAACTACGCGCAAGACTTTGGAACCACAGTAAAGGAATCGCTTAAAAGAACTACAAGTTCGAGGAGGGCTACACTCACGAATTAAATAAAAGTCGAATTGTCCTGTGTCAAATACTTTCATGCCTTTGTCAGCACTCTCAACTGTGTCTCTCCCATCCGTGCAAACAGTGATTGAATTCACCAATTGAATTCCAAAAATAATGGTCCAGTTAGTTCGTTAAGACTATATTAATTTGGCAATGATAATGTTTCTCGTGGTCTGTTGCAATGGATTGAAATTGGATTGGCAGGACATGCATGACCATGTCGGGAAGATCAGTAAGAGATCATGACTGGTGTGTCTGGATCTACGAGACTGGTGTCATATTTAACAATTATTCCTCGAGCCCGAATGGGCTCAGAGTCAATTGACTCGGAGGCCATTAGGGCGAGAGGAATAATTGTTTTAGTAAAATCCAACTAGTTGGTCAAAAATATCGAGACAAAACAACTTTAAGCCTTTTTTGCCGCCAAAAAGCCGGCGCTTTGCGCTACTAGTGGGCTATAACATATAGCATAGTGTAGCTCAACCAATCAGAACGCAGTATTGATAATAGACCACTAGTTGGATTTTACTTTTGATGGTTGTACGACTTATATTTTCAGTTACTAATAAATTGTACTAGTGGCAGAGTTCATGCAAATTTACACCTCGATTTTAGTAGAGCCCACCACCAAAAGTGATTGACTTGCTGAAAGAAGGAAAATTCGGGATATGACGGAATAATATTCGCAGTAGGAAGGTGAAAGTTAATAGCTAACCAAATTAGTAGTTAACTGAGAATTGACCAAAAAAATAGTAGTTAACTGATATTTGGCCGAAAAATAGTAGTTAACTGAGAACTGGGTACCCCCATTAGCACCCTCGTGTTACGGTACGGCAAAAAAAGGGTAAACTAGTGACACCATAAAGGAGGTTACAAGCAAAGTACGAGATGTGTACCCTTCAGACAGGCAAACTCTGTTATAATGCCATCAATATCAATTACGTCCTTGTGCTCATATGCAAAATTGCAAGAGAATTCAATCTCTCATCTGTCATGGTCCTTCGTAAAGGAGTTCGCAGTCTCTTCATACAGCCGAAGCTAAGCTCAGCTGTGCACATTGACACAGGATAAGTCAACAAAGTTATGAGACCCCGTAACATATATTCCGGGATAGAATTGGAGTTAGCTTCGTCAAAAGTCTCAACCAAGGTCTGTGGCTTCACATTCGGATCCATTTCACTCCACTTAATCGGTAAAAGGATAAAGGAAATCCTAACACAAAAACACCAATATAATGAGAAATATTTATCCCGATTTAAGGATAAAAATGCCTCCAGGAAATTTAAAAAAATCTATATGTTTGTTCCAGATTTCCGCTGTATGCATAGGCGTATGTGCGTACATGCACGGCTGCATGCACGCTACATTCCTGGTAGGAGAAATAGCTGATAGGTTCCTGGGCTGAGATTTATACGGGTAACATGATTTTGTTGCTGACGAAGAACCGCCAAATTTTTTTGTCTTCTTTTGAAGGAAACGTGGATTTACTTCAATTATAATATAGTTTGACAACTCTTACATAGAAGGCCAGTCTTAATATTTCGACCCCCCTCACATTCTGTGCCTTTTCAAAATTGACCCCCCAAAATCAAGCCTCTTAGAAAATTGTACCCTTCCTCCGAAACCCCACCCAAGACGTAATAAACGATTGCTCCCTTATGCAATGAGGCGCGCCGAAGTGTGAAGATTAAAGAAGAGTTTTATTCAAAATTGAAAAGAATTGCTTATTTAAAGAAAAAAGAATAAGCAGAAAAACAAGCCAGAGGATTAGGGCCAAGAAGACGTTTTACTTTGATTTTCACACTTTCACGGGCGGTTTGCGTTCCCAGGGGGTTACTGCGGATTTCAAGTGATAGCGAAGATGATCGAGGGATTTTTGGGGGTTGGAAAATTTTGGTAATTATTTTTTGGGGGTAGCTTGATTTGAGTAGGGATTTTTTGGGGTATTCAAAGCAATCAGAAGATTAGTGATAGTTCCCACGTATCCCGCCCTAGTTCCGCGAATAAATGGCTCTGAAATTCGGCATGGGATTTTTTGGGGTTTTTGGTTCAGGGATTTTTTGGGAGGTTTTGTTTGAAGCCCTAGGAATTTTTTTAGGTTTGATTTTCGACCCCATTCCTGTCACTTGAAATCCGGAGTACCCCCCGCTGGGTTTGCGTTATTTTTTGGTCACTCATTAACAAGAACGCCGCCAGTTTCGTTGCCGTGACGACGGTAACAATGGTCAGAGGCTTGGAACGCATGACGAACCCCTAAGAACGTCTGCGTGGGAGGCCACGGCGCCCGTGATCGTCTGTTGACAAATTTTCCTCAATCATGGCGAAAGCGGTAAGAGAGTTTTCTCTAGTACATTAGTTAGAAATTAGATGTTAAAGAAACTAGAATAGCTTTCGTTAGACATAGTCTTATAACTAAGCCATTTCGTTTCACGTTTCTAGGGCCCGCGATTTAGTTTGTGTAAAAAATGCTCATTCAAATAGTCATGTATTACGAATAGATTTTCAGTGTAAGGCCTTACACCCTTACAGCAGTTTCAGGTTGTAATGCAAAGTATAATGTGACGCTTTAATACTCTTTTCTAATCAACGCAACGATGACAATGGACAAAATGGCGTATAACTCCTCTGCAGTAAACTGTTGCAGGAGCTCAAGACTGACTGTTGTCATGGCAACAGCATTTTTGTTTATTATTGTCTTCATCCCATTGATCCTGCTACGTGATTTATTAGCCAAAAGAGTGAACAGAGCACTTTGCGCAAAATGCAAAACCTACTTTTCAAGCACAAGAAACATGTTTTTACCCTCCCGTGGTTTAATTTTTTTCTGCTCTTGCTTTGCTACAAAAATGCAAATCACTTACTTAGCTCATAAGGTACCTGTCATCTGGGCTACCTAAAACACTTTTTCCCTTGTTACTATTTACACCCTTATATAAAAGCCTAGCTTTCACCCTTAATACACTCTACACCCTTACAGACCTTACAGCCTTACACCTTAACAGCCTTACATAATAAAAAAAAACTGCAGTGTTTATACACCTGTATGTGGTTCTTTAAGGCTCGATTAGGTGGCTTGGCTTAATGTAAAAAGAGGAATATCCACGCAACATGTATTTCCTGTTTACGTGTGTGATCGAAGATACTTAATTACGAAAACATTGAAACAACCACTCTGTAAATTTTTGTCATCAAAAGGATTCCAAGTCATTGTTTAAAGGAAGCATTGGTCACGTGACCTCTTAGTGCAAGTGGCCTATTGTGTACATGTCATTTGTTGGGTTTTAGCTGCCACATCCGGCCCTCCCCACCCCACCACCACTCATCAGCCCAGAGTTGATTTTGAATTGTGGTCAGAAGCTCTTATAGTCTCCAAGTCAAAGTGTATATCATTTGGATTTACCTGTAGGCTAGAATAAATATTTAGCTGATGTAAATACAATTCAATACAATAACTTTTATGTCAACACAATGGCGATTAAAGCATTGCCGCTTATCATGGGGTTGCGCATTTAAGCTAACTGAACCTTAAGCAATAAAAGTATATTAAAATTGTGGTCGTTATAATGTAAAAACTTATCATTATAATTGTGAGGCATTGTTTGTGGAGATTCAGCCTGAAAATCTTAATTACGTAGGTTGTCAGATTTAGAGGCCATTCTAGTGTGTAAAGCTGGTTTTTTTTTTTGCAGAAGGAAGAAGGTTCAATTGTCATGTTTGACCAAGACCTTCTAAAAGACATTGACCTCCGTAAAGGAGAATGTAGACTACATAAATGTGGTTTGTCTATTGATAATCCTGGTGACAATTTGTTGTTAAGACCACTATGCAGTGATGATTATGAGAAAGGTAAATGTTGTTTTTGTCATGACTCTAAGGTCCTGTTCTCACAATGCAAAATTTGGTTTCTTTTGCAAAAAAATCTGTCAACAGGAAGCCATTTCTAGTGTGAATGATTTTTTCCACCCGCCAAAATTTACTGAACTGCTACCTAAATTCTGAGATGCCGTTGAGAACATGATGACCAGATGCGAACAAGGTTGCAGGAACAAAATTACAAAATTTTCAAATTTTTTGCAACTGCCAGTGCGAACAGGGTCGAAAACAGAATTTATGCACTTATCAGTGTTGTGCCCTGTCCTATCCTCCCCACCCGCTTAGCCCAAATTTCATCCGATACAGCAGTTTTCTCCCCTCAGCAACATCGTTACTTCTGTGCTAGCAGAGGTCTCTCACAATGAGGCAAAAATAAGAGGAAGGAGAGAGACTCGATCTCCTTCCTCTCATTTTTGCCTTGTTGTGAGAGACCTCTGCTAGCAGGGAACATCATTGCTGAGGGAGTTATAGCGACTCGAAGTAATCGGATGAAATTCAGGCTACCACTCACTCCCCATCTGACTTGGTGCATGTATTTAGTATTGTAATGATAACTGACAACAATATTGCCTGATTCTCAAATGGTCAGATGACCTGATACAGGGTGAAAGACCGTGGTCCTTGTTGAGGTTGGGACCTGGCTTAAAATTAAACCATTAGTAACGGCCACCTCTCCACAGATGCTTCTCTTTAAATGGGACAAGAAATTTCTGTCCCTTCAGATGTATATTGGATAAAAGACAGTGACCTATTACATGTATGTCATGCAAGGACAAAATAATATTATATTGACTCCGTTGTTTTTTCTATTTTAGAAAGCCAATATTTATTATTATTTTTAATTTAACTTCTTTGCAATGGCTAGAGCAGCATACCTCAGTCCTTAAAATGGCCACTGTTTTGTTCCCTTGTGATGTGAGGCTCCAATCCTCAAGAGGGACCACTGCAGTCTTGAATTTCAAGCTTTGCCTGGGAATAGTGCTAATTATTTTAAATGAGATCAATGTGACAAAAATTGATTTGTTGAGGAAAGGGCCTTATTTGTTCCAAAATTACAGGTTGTACATGATGTTAAGCATTTTTTGGACAGAGAGGAAATTTGTTGTGGATGACTTAGATTCTATTTTTTTTCCCAGGTTTTCCAGCAATTCAAAATGACCTTGCTAAAGTTGGAGATGTCACAAAGGAACTCTTTCTGAGTAAGAAATGAACTTCTTAGATGAACCCTTGTAGTGCAGCTCATTTTTCCCCCCAGGAAAGTTAATTTTGAAGAGTTTTGTTAGTTAGGTAAATACTTTGTTTAGCTTTTAGTGTCAACCAAATACAGTCATTACTGGTAGAGTGGATAATTGTCATCTTAACTGTTAAAAACCCAAATTTTCCCCTTTTCATAAGGGAGCTGAGGAGCCCTTTTAATAGGCGGATTCATCGTGACATTATTGTTTACATTTTTGCTCATTTGCATATGAGTTAACCCATAGAAGATGTAGCCGTATACAGCTATTTTGAGAAAGGTTGTCGGAAAAATGTGCACGCGACAAACCCGAAAGGCAATATGGGATATGATCAATACAATGTTTCTGACGACTGCACCTGTCGAACCTACTTTTGTTGCTTTCCTTAAGCACTGGCAAACACATTTCCATGGCCTTTTGTACCAATTCTTTCAAATTTCTTTAAAGAACAGTGAACTTAAAACCACCCACAATGCCTTTCGGGATTGTCGCGTGCAGTTTTTCCGACAACCTTTCTCAAAATAGCTGTATACCAAAGGTTCAAAAATTAAAAGAGCTGGTTAATTTATGCAGTTTGTACAAGTTTCAGCTTTTTGTAATCAGTAACAAAAAAAATAGCATCAATTAAAAACTGCAAAATTACTGGGTGGCAAAACGTTAATGAGTTCATGTAAATTTTTGGGTTTTTCAAAGACAATTTCTCCAAAACTATTAGATATATCGGGCTCAAATTTTCAGAGATAACTGAAATTGCTACGCTCTTTCAATATTCAGAAATATGCTAATAAGGCAAAAATGTAAACAAGGATTTGCCTATAGCAGGAGTATCACTCTTGGGTGATCATTTCGTTACTTCTTACATTCAGTTTAAGGAAAGGAATAATTCAAGGTGGCTAGCAAACTAAATCAATTAAGGTTTTCAGTACCTTAGATTACACACAAAACTTGACATACAGTAATAATTATTAATACTGGTACTCTATTCAGTTATTTACTGCAGAGGTCTTATATTTTCCCTTTGGATTTCTTTAGAGCGTTTCCATGCTATGAGATCTTGTCCTGGTACATATTATATCATTGTAGTGGAGGATACAGAGCTGGCAAAAATTGTGGCGTGTGGAACACTTTTCGTAGAGCAGAAGTTCATGCATGAAATTGCTATAGTATGTATATATCTTATTGTTTTCATATCCTGCAGTTGAACCTCCATTAAACAGGCTGTGTCACGGCAGTCCAGTTCATTTTGTTTAATTTTGCCAGTTACTCGCCCTCAATCACCATAGAACTTTAATAAAGTAAGCAAAGAACTTACATGTAAATGACAAAATCAGAGATCCGAGGCAAACAAATAGGTCCCCTGAGCATTATTTTTGACGTTGCAAGCATCAGGGATCAACTCTGAAAAACTGTTAGGCTGAACAGTTATCAAAAATCCTAACTTCAATCTGTTTCAGTTTTGCCTATCTGTGACATCTGTTGTTTCTGTTATGTTATTTTAACCTTCCTTTAAAGTTTTAAGTGGTTATTTTTATGTTTCTCTTCATGTAACATGCATTTTGTAATTTTAATTCCTAATTTGGCTGAATTTCGTGACACAGCTCCTTTAAGCGCCACCCTCAGGGTAGGTAGGTACATGTAGGCACTCAATAGAGATTGGTCAGAAATTAGCATAATCATTAGCAGAAACATCTATTCACTTTATTTGAAACAAACATGACAAGAGCAATATAACTTGTATCTACTATTAGTTGTCACCTTTATATCTCACACTGTATTTTCCTTCATCATAATTTTTACAATGAAGCCAAACTAAGTGTATCACGACTTTGTGGCCACTTATTAATAGGGGTGACAACAATAGAACTCTCATCAGGATGGACAAAAGGTGCTGGTAACTACTAAACAGAGGTTGGCCAGCTACTTAATTCATGTAGGTGGTTGCTTAATATGGAGGTTCAACTGCATTATCATTCAAAAATTATAATAGAGAAAATAAAGTCAGCTGTCTGGCCAAGTGGTTATGAGGTAGTGGACTGGACTTTCTATCAGGTGGATGAAATTCAAATACTGCTCTCAACCCCTCAGTGGATTTGGTCTTGGATGTCCAAATTCAACTATTCTGCCATACATGTAAATAACTGCCATGAATAAAAATTCTGTTTTTATCTCTTAATGCTCAACAATCTTCAAGTTGTAAAAAGTGGTGGAGGTGACAATAAGGATCCCAATATGAAGTGATGTCATGAGAGCTAATTTATAGTATGCATTAGGAGTTTTTTCAAGTACACGAGGCAATTTATATGATAGCCCACAATCCATGCCTGAATGTTGATAGGGTGTATACAACAACATTCCAGCAAGCTGGACCAGATTGATCAAGTCACAAGTCACTGAACATTTCAATCCACTGTAAACAAGGCTTTAGAAGAGCCAAAAGCTCATACATGGTTATTTTCTTTCTGCCAGTGTAGTGACAAAATATTATTAAAGAAATCTTTGAAATTTAGGTGTTTTTTTGTTGTTGTGGTGCTCTGATTAAGAAAGTGTGGTATGCTGAAGCCTTTACTGTGTGTCATTTTCGCATTATCTATTGTTATTATTTAAAGCGAGGGAGAGTTGAAGACATTGTCGTTGACGAGAGCTATAGAGGGAGAGGACTTGGAAAACTGTGAGTACAGTCAAACCTCTGTTAATAGACACTAGCTGCAGCTGCACTTGGGGACTTAACTGAGTTATTTCCTATTCATAAATTAAAGTTAACTCATTTAAAAAAACTGCGAGTGAGGCTGGGTTTTCTACAGTCTTATCTGAGTTCTAAACAGGTTACGCAAATCAAGCAAGAACAATAGATTTCGTTAACCAGGCTAGGTTTTTTAAACCACCTCAAGAGGTAGTTTAACGCAGGTTAACAATGTCAGTCAGTCAATCATCTCCGTCTTCACGTGAGAATGGTCCAAATTTTCGCATTCATGAATGCAAGCACCAAAGTTTTGAAATTACTTCTTTCACTCCAAGTTCAGCTTTTCTTTCTCCATTAGCACATTATTGAGTTAAGACTTTTAAGAAGTCAACCTCTTTTTACAAGTAATACAGGTCAAATTTTGTCAGTCACTCTTAGGCGAGTGTTATGAGCAACCCAACTGAGTGAAAAAAAAAAACCCATGACATTGTGAAAGTCTAAATTGGGTCCAGCCACAAATAAAAATCAACCTGGTTATTAAAACTCTTTTCACCAGGTTATGTTCTGAAGAATTTTTCAACAGGTTTTTCAAAACCTAACCTGGTTAACTTGCCAAATGTAGCCGCAGCCACTTTCCTTGAGTTGTTATTTCTAACCATGAAAAGCTGCTGCCAACATTTTCTATGACTCTGAGGGCATCAGTTTTCAAGAGATTCTTCTTGTTTATATACTACTAACTGCAACCTGGTTAGCTCAATTTGTTAAGCGCTGGTCTGCTGAGGGGGAGTTCATAGATTGAAATACTGGTTGGACTCATGATGTTGTTGATGATGATGATGAGGAGGAGGAGGAGGAAGTAAATGCACCCACATCATAAAGTACATTCTCTAATTTAATGAAAAATTCCAACCCAAAAATTTTCTGTGTTGTCTTTCAGTGTTGTTGAAACCTTGCTGTTACTCAGTGAGAAGTTAGGATGTTACAAGACCAGCCTTAGGTGTAAAGATTCTCTGCTTCCTTTTTACACTCAGTTTGGATTCAAAAAGGAGGATCAGCAAAACTATCTTTGTAAATGGTTTTCTGATTGAGGCATCAACAAACTTACGCTCATGACATGCTAACATATCAGCAAATGCTCTTCTTAGGAATTCTGGTTAGCCTGTGACAGGAAAGAGAAACGTTATTTTTTCAGCTTGCTTTACTGAGCAGTCTTCTCACAACCCAACTGTTTTTCACCTCTTCGAAGGTTCTCCGAATATCCCAGTTTTTTCTCAAGAACTACAGATTCACCCATCCTTACTCGTGGTAGGCCTTCACTACAGCCTCTATTAACAGAACATTCGATTCGCCCATTATTTGATAACTCACAAGATATCAGCAAGACTGACTTGAGTTGGCCATGCCAACGGATGCATAACGTAACTGCTTACACCCGGGTATAAGAATTCATAAATTGTTCACTTAAGTTATTTGAGCTGATAAAAATCTATAAAAATTGATACAATTACCGGTAAGAGGACTTGCATTGTGCATATTGATTTTCATAGATTGGTTAATTGATTTTTATTGATTTTATTGATTGGTATCCGATGATCGATTTTCATCACCTGGTGCACGCCGGGAGCAAAATAAACGGTTACTTTCAATGTGTTCTACTGGCTGGGATGTTTGCTTCTTGCATCCTAAAACCCTTAGCTTATACCGTATTTATTCGAATAAGCACCCAACCTCGAATTAGCGCCCACCTCAAATAAGCGCCCATCCTAAAGGCAGAAAAAGTTAATAAGCGCCCAGCCTCGAATAAGTGCCCACCCCGCCTCCTCAAAATCAAACTCAAATAAGCACTTACCCCCACCCCACCCACTTTAGTGAATAAATTCTACTAAGAGACTTCCCCGAGGACGGAGTTTTCTTCAGAGTATTTTACAGAAACCTTGCTTTGTTACTTCTTCGCATTTTGTTATTAGCTTTTTGTTGTTCTGTTGCAAAATAAACATACTTGACTCGCTGAAAATGGTGAAAATTTAATAAGCGCCCACCTCGAATAAGCGCCCACACTCAAGGTCCAAAAATTTAATAAGCGCCCAGGGCGGTTAATCGAATAAATACGGTACCTGCCATGTCTAGATGCATTTTTAATTAACTTTTAATGGAAAAACAACCCTGCTTCATAACCATCAGCAATCCATTTGCCATTAATTACACCCTATTCTAGTTTAACCTCTCTAACTTGTTTACACTATTTCCGACTAAACCGCTTAAAACCTCTAACATTCACAGGATCACCTACCCATGTACGCGTACATAACGGTACCTCTCCCCCCGCCACTCACCCCCTACACCTCCCCTCTATTTTGATCGGTTGTGATCAAGAAACTAAACTCCGCCAGTTACAAAGAGAATCTAAACCAACAAAACAGAGAATATTCAACGAGTTGGTAAAAATAGGTTTTGATGAATACATTTCTAAGGATCTTACCTGGTTTGCTTTCGAGATCTTAACAGAGCGGTAGTCTTCTGAGCAACATTTCGCGGCAAAAGACAGCTTCCTTTGCCAAGCATCCTTAAGATCGAGTCAATTATCTGCTTATAACCGACAAACGAATTAACATCTTTACAAGAAATTCTTCTCTACAAAACTATAAATAAAATATTTAGTTGGACGTTCATGTCTTACTGCACGCCCGACGACGACGTCAACTTTCAGTCAGGCGTTATCAGGTTATTTGACCGGTCGCTCAGTTGCACAGGACACCCAGATGAACCACAAAACAGGGGAGGGACGAAATTGTTGGTTTTCACATTCAAACTACAAAACTATCGATCCTACCGAGATTTTACTTTCACGTTATATTAGAGAAGCTCAAAACTAATTTTCATACAAATGTTCGGTTCAAAAAGGGTTCTTGGTTTTGTGATAGAGTACGCTTGAGTTTCTAAGCTTTTGCGTGACGGGAAATTTTGCTATCTAAACAGTTAATGTGTTAGAAAAAGTATTACTTTAATGTTTATGAGTTCCTCGACGAATAAATTCACGCTTTTATAGCAAAACTCGGTAACAGATGTTTCTGTTGGTTTCCTGTCCGCCATGTTGGTGCCCGTTCGGATGGGCACACCAGCATGGCGTCTTCATACAAATCTCTATAAATTTGGCTAGAACATTTCTTCAGATGTCTCTTATACGAAATATTCTTTTGACCTGAAACTTGGCGAGGGTCTCTGCATATTTACCTCCTTTCATTTCCCATATTGCATACTTTATCTATTGAAAGGTTTTGATTTTTATTTTGATCTATTTTGAATGGCGTTACACTGAAAACCAGCAATACAAGCTCCCCTAAAAACGCGTGCGTGGGGGGCTAGGGATACGTGTGGACGGGTCCTAAAACTAGACTCGCCTAAAGGGGCGACGTTACTGAGCTGTCATAAAACTTAAGACTATACAGAAATATTGTACTCCATAAAAACAATAACTTCACCAGAACAGACAGCAAACAGCTTATAAGAGAAAACAAACCACTAAACCCGTCACCCATCACTGAGACTATGGAAACGGCCTGTTTAAATGGAGATGGGGGACCCCAGATAGGTGAGGTAACATCTGGCGGGTCATCCCACCTATCATGTGAACGCGATCAAATTAAAATCGGAGAACAGGCGGGTTACCTCACCTACCTGGGGTCCCCCACCTCCATGTAAACAGGCCCTAAATAGAGATGATCAACAGACGATGATCTATAATTTATGGTCGATACGAACACGCATTGTGCCGTAAGATTAAGATATCTATACGTTTCAAGATTTAATTTGTTACTTCGAACCGGAGATAATTAATTTTGCATTCTCCCCCTTCCCCACTTTACAGCCGGGGGAGGAGGAGAAAATAAACGCCTGTCTGGGAGACTAAACAGGAACATGTGGAAACTAACAAAATATTTCTGTCGACCTCTTTCGCAAGCTCTCATCCGTCAGAAATAATATTTTCTCAGATTCGTCTCCTGTGTAAAATGTAATTTTCCTGCAAGCCCATGGATTGTGACAGAGTTTTTCCCTCTAAACCAACGACGTGTGACTCGCTCCAACGGCGCAAAATTTCGCGAGCTCTTCGGTGAGAACGTATGTGAAAAGCTCTAATAGATAACATATATCCTTTAACCAAAATGTTTTTTATTGCATCATAGTTTTGGGTGAATAATTTAATAAAATTGTCCCAAAACCTTGCGACATCATTGACATGTAATAATTAAACATTCACCATTGAAATATAAAATGTTCTGGTACAAATTGACTGTTAAAAACATCCTCTTATTTTTACATTTTATACATGTTTTTAAGGAGCCGTCAACTCTTTTACACCTTATTGGGCAAGTAAATGACAGTTGGTCTTACCCTGGCTGCTAGAGGTTCTTTTTCTTCTTCCCTAATTCCTGATAGTTCGCGGCAAAGCGCCGAGACAAGAGAGCTCTCATATCAAACCGTGCGCACAAAAGGTTATTTCATGCCAAATATTTAGAGAACAGACCTCTTAAGCCAGGGTAAGTTGGTCTCGCCAAGCAATTTTAACATCTTCAATTGTGCTCAAAATCAAATCATTATTTGTTATCAGCATTCCGTCGTAAATAAATAACTTAGGCCACAAGCTCTTGTCGGTCACACCCTTGTAAATATAAGCGTTCTGCACACTTTCCCGTGCAAAGCAATGATAGCTGTATACTAAGGAACGGTTGAAAATTTTTACAAAATACATTGCTACCGTTCCGTCCATGGACGCTTTTATGCACTAAGAACGGCTGTCACTTTTTGACGCAAGTAAGCTATTCCATAGTCTGTTACACAGCCATTTTTAGGGTCGTCACGCAACGAGAGAGGAGCGTTGCGTGACGACGCTAAAAACGGCTGTGTAGCAGACGGGCTGTCCCACACCTAATGAGTCAATGAGAGGTAATCGTGGCACAATTTTACAGATTCATAATTTACCTGTTTTGATTCATGGTCTAATGGGGAAAAGCTAGACTGTTCAAAGGTCCCCTATTTTTCTTCGTAAGATCGTCCGGATCGAGCGCTTACCGGTACGAGCGGCCATCTTGGTTTCATATGTACGCAGTACCGAGGGGAAGGGAGGCCACTCCCAAACCGTCCCCCTCCCCCTTAAAATATTTGATGCTCACTGCATCCAAGATGGCCACCCGAAACGCAAAGCGCTCGATCTTACGGAAAGATAGGGGACTGTGAACAGTTTAGGGTAAAGCTTGCCGCCCACACATTAGTTTCTTTTTTTACAAGTTTCTTGCATCAGATTCGTCATCCCTAACTTAATTCACACGGACATCAAGTTAAGCCAAAACCTTTGCAATTCTCAATTGCAACAATAAGCCTTTCCTTTAGCTTACTCCTGGTGCTGTATGCCGGCAACAGAAGGCGATTGAAACAGGTCAGAGCGGTCGGAAGTCGGTCCGAGTCCTCGCCGTGTCGTTGAACAATGAAGGTCAAGTTCGCGAGCCCCTTCAGAGGCACCCGATCACTTCCGGTAACAAACATAAGGAAAGCCTTCTTCTGCTCCAAAGTCATTTCATTAACAACGCTCCAGAGCACGTTGATTGTAGGGTGGTTGTGATCATAGCCCTCCTCATAGGTTGCCGCTATTTCAAGCTCGTAGAAGTCGATAACAGGGCAGCCGCAAATTAAGAGTTCAAGCTCGTCAGGACGAAACAAAGTGAGAGCTTCACCTCCACAAACCTGAAAAATGACAGGTACACAATATTAAGTTCCAAATCAATCGGATGACATCCTTAAATCTCCACAAAAAACATGGAATATTTGATAGCTGACGAATTCGCCGGTTTAAGTTAAGAGCACAGGAGAACGAAAGATACATTTTCATTACATCGCTACACCAGCGACAACGTAGCAAGCTTTGTCGCACAACGTCTAGAATACAGCTCTCATTAAAATATATTTGCACAAACTAAATGATCATTTGTTAGCTTGTTTTTTTTTTATACATAAAATCATTAACAAGTTACTTCCATTTGCTGGAAAGAGCGATTCACAAGCAGTGATTTCTCGAGTCGCGTAGATCTAAGCGCGTTTCAAGGCAAGACATACCCACCTTATGAAAACCCCGCGAAAAAGCACTGAATTGTTTTTCAACCGACTTCACAAGGAGGTAGTCCACGTACAAAGAAACAAACTGTTCCCTGTTGCAGTTTGTCACAGGAATGTTCTCTCCATTTTGAAGAAGTTCCACGCTCTGAAGGCTACCAAACTCGCTTGAGGAGACCTGAAAACAGAAAGTTTGAAACACAAAAAAATTTCGCCAAAGCGTGGTATAATCAGAGAACGCTCAGTAGCACACAATAGTTTCAGCTACAAACAGTCCGTGGATGAAAGCACTGCGAAAGAAAATCTCCAACTCCCCATTCTGTCATATAGTTTTATTGCTAATACTAGCAGTAATCGTAGATTAGAGTGCGTCGCCTTAGGGCTTTAGGCACCAGAATTGTGCCGGCAGCAATATGATAGAATATGCCGTTTGGGCATCAGCCATCGCAAAAGCTTCAGGAATAGTGAATACTTCCCTGATCAGCCTTACATGTTCGAAAGATTTAGAAAAGAAAAGACTGTGGAAGCAAAGGTTGCGAACAGCGCTGGCAATGGAAAAGCGATGGGCATGATGGATACTATTTGGAGCATGGCACGCACGGCATGCTGAATGCTATTGTGACATTTCAAAAATGGCGCAGGTTTGGAACCGACACACCGCCCACCGACAACCTCTTTTCTCGATTTCTCGCGCAGAGATCGTCTTTCATGGGCGGCTGGTTTCGTTCTTTATAGTGAAACGCGCGAATGCCTGTGTTTTTCTCGCTGCCTCGCCACTCTTGGCTTACCCAGGATGCCAGAGGTTTTTAATTTTTCCTCATTCCTGATAGTTTGCGGCGACGCCGCGAAAAAAACCGCGCGCACGGGTTATTTCATCCTAGGTTTTTCAAGAACAGACCCCTGGATCCAGGGTACTCTTGGCTTTGCCCTTTAACTGCGATATGTCGGCCTACGGCCTGCGCCACAAAACATGCTGCCTTGCGTGAGAAGAAAACTGTCGTACCAAGGGTATAAACCATTAACCAGCATGTGAAAAAGGGCTGAATTCAACCTGTTTACTCTCCGTTTGGTACTGAATCTACTTCGTCTCGCCCGGAGTTGTGTCGCTCGAAACCAGAGTTATTTCGACAGAAAGTTTTCGTGAAGTCGCCCGAAATCCTGAGTTATGTCACCCGAAATTTTATCACGCTCAACAACATTCTATCTTATTACTTAACAGTTACGTAGTTCATGCGTAAGTGGCGAAGTTCATGCGTAAGTGGGAAGTTTGAAGAGCACTCAAGAGGCCAAAGAGTTGCGCCGAAGGCAACTCTAGCCTCTCGTGTGCTCTCCAGACTTCCCAAGTGCTCAATATCTTGATATACGCACAGCTGAAGCATGAACTAATTGTTTTATAACAATATCAAAGCGATCAATGGGGCAGTTAACTTAAAATTTTATTAATGTAGCGCGCTCAAAGCAGTACGCGTCAATAGGGCCATTTATACGAGGAAAAATAAGACGCGAACTTTCCGTATAAACGGCACATTTCGTCTAAAATAAGAGGCGGCTTAGCTAAGACGCGTCTTATTAGATAAGACATGCTCGTATAAATGGTACAGTTTGCGTCTTATTTAAGACGCGTCTTATGTAAGACGCGTCTTATTTTTCCTCGTATAAATGGCCCTAATGTCTACGTGACTCATACTTTTTAACCTCACAGTTATGTTTATGTCTTCAAACCGAGAGAAAGTTTACTCAAGTCGCTTAAGATAACATTAAAAAAGATTGCAAAATCCATATTGAGGCGCCACAAAACTATTGATTCAGCAACAAATTCTTTTTGAACCGAAGAAACAACTTTTCAAACAATGATTTTCACACGCCATATGCCCATAGTCCGCACAGCTAGCGTTTGTTTCGTCTCGTCGAGGCTTATAGAAAGAGATATATTACTCATTTATCGCGCTTGTTTCGTCTCATCATCTGACCTTATTCCTCTATATATTCAACGGGATAAAATTTCGGGCAACATAACTCAGGAATTCGCTCGACATAACTTCGGTCGAGGTGACTTTCGGGCGACTTGAGCGGTTACCGTTGGACGCTCTAAGAATTCTGCTAGTAAAAAAATATATATATACATATATATACATATTTCACGACATTAAGTTACAATTATTAAAATATTTGATCAACAGACTTACTATTTGGTCGCCATTATTTCCACATTACCTGAAATGTATAGCAAAACGTATCCTCCACATCACCATCAAACTCCAACAGCTGCATGAGACTGTTTGCCAGGGATGGCTGAACGCCCAACAAGTCTTGAAGATCGAGTTTCTCGTTCTGAAGCTTCTTATAAATCACAGGCGGAAAATGTAGATCTAGTATGATTCCATTATAGATGGCCAAACCGAGCAAGATGCCGACCAACTCAAATTCTTTCTCTGATTCAAGAGACGAGCTGTTTAGCCACACACTGTGACTCTCTTCGATGTAGGTAAACATTCCGTAGCCTGGCAAATAACAACAATCAGATAAAAATACAGCGTTCATTTTCATCAAACTATATTTGATTCTTCGAACCAATCTTGGATTCAAACAATCACCTACCACAGTGTATCGTGGTTGTAAGGAAGCATTCATTATATTTACATGATTGAAAACCTAAACTTATTCAAAGAACCATTACTAGCACTTATCATAAATTAATCGTGCAAAACATTGTTTAAGAATGGTATGACCCTAAACTTAAATTTCGCGCCGAAATAGCCATGTCACGAGAAAATAAAGCCCGGGTGTAAGGGAGGTGAACGAGAGTTCACAACCGTTAGGGTCTAAAAGACTTACGGCTAGCCCGTGTAACCTGCGGAATTTCTACCACTGAAGCACTCCTGGAATAAACTTTGCTGCCGGGGGACTTCGAGAAGAATCCCCCGGGGCTTTGCCACTCTCTATGCGTGGCAATTCTGTCGCTAAAAAGGACTGACGCGTTCTGATCCCATCAGCCGCGTAAATTATTTTGTACGAGCTGGTGCAACACATGAACCCCAATAAAAGGTTGGGATATTTACCCGGGTCAAAAACAGCTTCAACAATCATGTGAAAGAATTCTTTCTGTAGTCCTCCCATGTCCAGCCCCTGCTCTCCTCCGCCGACATACTTGATCTTCAGGGGCTTCTTCAGGTCAAACTCCTACCGACGGAGAAAATAAAACAGTACGTAACTGGAATGTGTAAAATTTGTACAGTGAAACCCGCCACCACAGGGACGCCTCCCCCTTATCTCAGGGTCTGGATGACCCTCCCCCCTACTTATCTGAAGGTGTGGATCCGCCACTGCTATAGTGTATGTATTAGTTAAACGGGTGTCCGTATTAGAGTGGGTTCTCAGAAAAACGTCACGGACACATAAATTATTGACATTAAGACAAAAACACAAAAACAGACAAAGAAATAGAAAGGTAGGACAAAAGACTGCAGCATAAAGCAAAAGAAATCAAAATTGTGCAGCAGGAGGCACAAAAACTTAGTTTAAGGACTTCAGTACAAGGGTCAACCTCCGGAGGAAAGACGGACTTCAAACATATCACGCTATTTTGCCACGGTTTTTAAGTAATAAAATCGTATTGAACCTCGTAATGAACCTGGTACGTAAGGTCATAGGTTCAATTCCTGTCGGGGACTCAGATTTTTTCTGTCCCGTGCTCGTGACATGTTGATCACATATCACATCACTTCTTATAAACATTCCGTCAAATACGGGTGTCCTTATTAAGCGGGTGTCCGTAGGGCGGGGTTCCACAATACATGAATTACACTCTGCTTAGCACGAACCTTGAGGTGGATCTGATTTAATGTGTCTTGAATCAGATGATCACGGCGGACTTCAAGAACAAGAAACGGGCATATGGCAGATTTAACTGCATCTTCCAGATCATTTTGTGTTTTCTCGACCTCCTCTCGTATTCTCTGCGCCTGCTGTACACGTGCTTGGTGCACTATTGCATTTTGGTATTCCACTCTCATCTGTGATACGGCATCAATCTTCAAGACTCGAACCTATTGAGGAGAAAGAAAATTATGATATTTGTGCCGGCCAGTTTATGACAAAGCGCCGTCGCCATTTTGCCAATGGGCAGAGGGGGAGATCACGGCAATCCCTCCTTCTGTGAAGACCAAGCGGCCCAGTGCATTCAAGTAAAATGTCATTCCCAGATATGATCTCAAATGAATCTGAAATTTACACGGATCACGCGAACAAGACCCCAGATTCGAATGTGCAGAATGAGATCAATGTTCAGAGCATCCCAGCCAGGAGGTCTGTATGATTGTGACGATGATGACAATGACGTCTTATAACGCAATTTTACAAAACTTATTCACACTTTCCCTCAAAAAAACCTTCTAACGCCATAGTTTCCTTTATGAAAGTTTGAAAGAGAACTCCTCCGTCAAAAATCCCACTGACCTTCCACAGAAGGGTGGGAAGGGGGAATGGGGAAAGGGGTGTGGAGAGGAAAAGGAGGGAGGGAGGGAGGAGAAATTATAAAAAGTATCTGGAACTATGTAAAATACCTTTGAGGTTGGATCCAGAAAAAATGGATAATCGAGAAGAGAGAGATTCTGGTCTCTTTCCAAACTAAATTTAAAAAAGCAAATAATATTATATTCAAGGAAAGAAGTCAACTGTAAGTACAGGATTCCTCTTTAAACATACTTACATTAATTCTGTCATTATGAGAGGCATCTGCAGCAGTCTCATGACACAATATGGCAATGAGATTTTAGAAAATAATTAGAACAGTAACATATGGAATATTTAGTGTTGAAATGAGGAAGACTCAGTTCACAGATTGTCAAACATGTAAAGTAGATAACTCAGATCACCACAAGACTATTCAAGCTTCCCCTATTGGTCAGTTAGAAAAATTTCAAGTACTGACAACTATTTTTTAATAGCACCTAATGTATATAACATTAACCTGAGATCAGGTTCAATTTACCAACATGTAAGAAAGAACATATGAAAGCTGCTAAAATTGGGCTACTATAACCTATAGACATATCACTAAGGCAGACTCCTAAAGATGGTCCTCGCAATTCTTTACTCCTTTAATTTGACTCTGAATGAGAAGGACATCTCCCTAAGATCCATGGGTATTTAGTGCTGGCCCTCATGGTGTCCCTTTTAGGTCTGTTTTTTTTTTTTTTTTTTTTTTCTGTTTTGATATTTATCATAAGTCAGGAAAACTCCAGATGATCAGGGATTTCACAATATCACAACCATCCTGTGGCATTTCTCTTTTCCTTATGTGTCCCAGATTTCAGCAACAGTCTGTGGACAGCAGACTCTGAGATTTTCCTAACATATCCAGGGTTCTCATCAAGTACTGGCAACTGGCTAAAAAACTGGCAACTTTGATGTTTGAGCCATGTACTTTTTGGGAAAAAGGCTGCGTGGTATTTAGTGAGGGAATGAAAGCCTGAAATTGCCTACAGTACTCGATTGCTAAGCCACCTGCTTTTACATCCTAGCTGTCTACTTTAAAACTCAATGAGAACCCCACATATCAATAGAATCTGGGAGGATAAGGAAATGGTGAAATCCCTGATTAACTGGGATTTTCTCAACATACAAAAAAAAATAGGCTTTACACAGAGTTGACCATACATTGCCCTGATGCGGTTGATTAACAGGAAACTTACAGCGTGTTCGCTTCACTGTATTATGGAATAACAATACACAAAAGACTTGCTACAAATCTTTTATATTGTGATTTTTGGACCACATAAACACTAAATACACTGCAATATAATATTTCCAGGGGATTTCTTGATACGACTGTACTTTTTTGGTATAAATTGCACTGCAGTTTATAGAATTTACTCCTTTTATTGTTATATTGGAATACGGTCAATCAAACATGCCCTAAATGACTTGTGAAGGAGAGCTAAACAAAGGAGTTTTCACGTATTGGTTTACATTATCACCTTGCTGATGGTCATTTCTTACTATTTTGCATGGACTCTGTCGGTACCTTTTGGTGGAGTTTAAATTTCTCCAGTGCTCATATTCCTTCTTGAAATCCATTTTGAGAGAGAGATCTTCATTATAAAACTCAGAAAGGGAAAGAAAGTCCTCTCTGTTCCTCCTGTTGAGCTGACGGCAGGCATCGTAGAGTATAGCCAGTGATTTACAAGCTTCTAACAAGTGTTGCATGCTGCGCTGTCCAGGAGAAATCATGCTACTCAAGTATTCCTGAAGAACCTTGAAAAGAGAATTGAAATAAACTTAACTTTATTGAAAAGTTGTTCTTTTGAATCTTGTGCTTTGTTTGTGAGCTTCAATCGGTGAGTAACCCAGGGGTAATGAAAGGGACTCCAATTCCCGTTAGGGGTTTATTCAAGGAATTTTTCATACTATTAAGGTGGTCCCAGCCTGTTGCAAGGTTCAGTGTTTCACCCAGGTAATGCCTTCCACCCTCTTAGTTCCTTTCCATTCAGGAGCTTTCTCGTAAACTTCATGAGGGCAATTGGTAATTGTGATTGGGTAAAATTAATTAAGAAAGAAAATGCTAAGCAACTTTTAAAAACTACCAGAAGAATCTTTTGTTGTAGTAATTTCAGCTTTAAAGCATTTAATCAACTACAACAAAACAATCTATGACCTGACGCATGGATAGCGTTATCCTCCTTTTGAGCAGCAAGGGCCTAATAGGTACACTTAGTAGGGTCTACAACCCCAGACCCCACCATCCTGCTCCACTTCTTGGATTGGATCCACCAACTCCACCTGACTGCACACTACAAGCTAAAAATTATACAAGCACTAGAAAAGTAATACTGTAAACTTCCACTTATAAACCCCCTCCCCCCAACCCCAGTTCGAGGCCCATCTTTTAGAAAACAAGAAATTCATCCAAAATAACCGACAAACGTGCCCCGGGATATAAGCCCCACCCTAGCTCTTACTGAAATGAATTTGATTTATTGTGATGTTTTGAGGCCTAATTAAAAACCAGCAAATGCAAACCATATTTGGATCAGCACTGTCATAGCTTGTTTTGAAAGCATCTTTTCTAGTCCAGTTATAAGCCCACTCCGATGCCTCTTTGTTTAGAGGCCCTAATAGAACCCCTTACGAAGATGCATAAGCCGAGGGCTTATAAGTAGCAGTTTATGGTAGCACATTAAAGTTACTTATGGCAACTTTATATTTTTTGTTGTAATATACATCCCACCTGAAGCAACTGCTTAAATGATTCCACATCATAGCTCATAAAGATTGCAATCAGTGATTGCCGTGAGTCAGCAGGAAGCTGACTGATCACTTGACAAAGTTTTCGTAAAAGGGCTTGAGATTCCTGGACAAGGGGATTTTCCAGTAAAATGACCAGCTGTGAAACCTCATCTGGGTTCATAGTAACTGAGCTTAGAGCAGCGAGATGAATTTCTAAGGAATTGACTAGTGGTTGAATAAATGTGTCTTTAGGCTCCAAACCCAAAAGAAGAGTGTAGGCTTCCCTGACAGCAGAAACATCAAGAGAATCACGGCCATCACCTTTAGATGTCCTAAAACTTTCATTCAAGGCCTCAGATGATGTGAATACTGTTCTGATGGTATTGATAAGAAAAGCCGAATCTTTACACTCCTTGTAATTTTGGACCGAAGATTCAAGCATTGGTAATGTTAAATGAGTTAGTGAGAACTCTTGAATATGACTTGATGACATCTCAAGAGCGCATTCCTTCTCAAACTCTTCCAAATCAATAAGGTCATTTAATGAGCTGTTTGAGCTGAAAAGTTCAGGTGGCATTCCTGAAAGTGTATGCTCATGAACACGATTACCAGACAGATTCAATTTAGAAAATTCTGTACTATCGAGAGTAAAAACATGTCTTTTTGAATCATCTTTGATATCTGATGACGGAACATTTAACCCTCTTTTGCCAGTTTTCTCATTTCCACCATCACTTAATTCAGCTTTGAAATTTATTTGATCAAAAGATCCACTTGCTTGCCTTTTCTTAGACTCACTGTGATGGTTTGGTAAAGCAAAATTACCCTCAGAGTTTCTTCTTGGAGGGCTGGGCTGGAAAAGTGTTTTGAATGGTGTTGTTGAGAAAAGACAGTGCAGAAATGGCCTCGCACGCCTAGGCTCTCCAACAAAAAGATTGCCAGGTAAAGGATCATTCCTTCGGTTCTCAGGAACACAAATGTGCTTTTTATTTCTTGTGGCCAGTTCTATGCTCATCACTCCAGCAACATCAGGGGAGAATCGCACTCCGTCTTTGCAGGAAAAACAAAACTTGTTTTTACAGTTGCTATTTCCACAGCCCTTGGTAAGCTGGTTGTAGTAGCATTTCACCAAATCTTCAAAATGGCTCTTCATTTCGGAATAGGACGAATTAGGCTGATCGTAGCTACGCATTGGCATAGCTTCCTTGAGGGATAGATTCGAGTCCGAAATAGCCGCAAGATTGCTGGCACTCAGAGTTTTTGCAGTACCTTTGAGTGAGTTGATATGAGCTAAACTAGAATACTTTTTCGAACTATCCAAGTTTAAACTCGTCAGAGATCCAGTAAGCACATCTTTTCGAAGCTTGGGCTGACTGGCATGTTTCTTGAGTTTGTTAAACTTGGTGATCGACTCTCCAGAATGCAATGAATGCCTTTTTGAGTGGGCCATCGGAATTTTCGGCGGCCGAGTTGAAACAACGGCGTGACTACTCAAAACATCATCCATACTCAGCAAATCTCCTCCCTTCTCCTTCCGACAAAAACAACAAGATTATTTCTTGTACATCAAAAACAAAAAACAGGACGGTTTCTTTTGAGCGAAACCTCGTAACTGTACATTTTCACACTTTCACAGGCGGTTTGCGTTATTTCTTCGTCACCCATTCCAGAACAAAAACGCCGCCATTTTCGTTGCCGTGACGACTGTAACAATGGTCAGAGGCTTCCCCCGAAGAGTATTTTCCAAATAAGGAGTGTGATCTAACCTCCGGTCCGGCGTCGGTGTCCGGCGCCCGTGATCGTCTGTTGACAAATTTTCCTCAATCATGGCGAAAGCGGTAAGAGCGTTTTCTCTAATACGTAAGTTAGAAATTAGACGTTAAAGAACTAGAATAGCTTTCGTTAAACGTATTCTTATAACTAGGTTTCACTTCTAGGACCCACGATTTAGTTTGTGTAAGAAATACTCATTCAAGTATTTTTGATTGAAAACAGAATTTGCACGATATGAACTTAGGTCAGGACGATTGACTTGAGCTAGAACTATTGATTCCTTTTTTTTTCAAGTTTAAGTTATCTTTTAAGAAGTCAAAATAATTCATTTAGGTTTACCTGGCTGGATGATTCCAAGAGGTCGAATTTGAAGGATTTAAAAGTTTAAAAATACTTTAGTTTTTAGTAGTGTCGATGTGGCAAAATATCATGCTAGAAATTCTTAAAATCACATGTTTCTCAGTCGCTGAAGATACACTAAGACATTGACGGAGGTATTTGTTTTAAATTACATAATCATTTAGCTAGGTATTATTATTTTTCAGTGTAAAGATCCAGTAATCTGATCTCAAAGTTTTACATGCATGTGTACATGTCGTGTGTTGGGTAATAGCTACCATATCCGGCCCTCCCCACCCCACTGCCACTCATCAGGAGTGGTAGTGGTCTTGTGGTCAGGAGCTCTTGTACTCTCCTCCAAGTCAAAGCGTATATTTTACCGGGCGTCTGGAAAAGTCGGAAACCGGAATCCGGAATAGGAACGGGAATGGGAACAGGAACGGGAACCGGAAACGGAAACAGAAACAGACCAGGAACAATAATGTAAATGGGAACCAATACAAAAACAGACACATCATTTACCTTAAATTATTTTAATTCTTATTCAATTTATATGAAAAATAGGAAAAATAGCCTGGTATCATGCTCACCCTTAATCTCTATATATTATAGCAACTTGAAGGTCAAAAAAGCAGCAAGTTTAATAAGTAAAGCAACAGCTATGCAAGTGCATCGCGCTCTCTGTGTATGTGTTCACCGTTTATGCACAACTACGACATGAAATGATCAAATCTTATTGATTTATCTTGAGAAGGTGAACGGCAAGGCAATAAATTTTATTGCGTCTCTCTGAGCGCGGACGCGGTCTCCAGCTTCATTTCCCAATCTTTAAAAGACTGGACAATTTAGATGAGAAATAGTTTGAATTAGGACCCGAATTCAATTTCTCAGTGGTATTTTTGCTGGTGTTGCCGTTGTCAGATCTTAAGGTTCCTTCTGTCTCGCGCAGGAAGAAGGTTAAAAACATAATAACATTATTTGTCAGACCATCTGTAAACAAGACACCCATCAGAGACATTCATGAGACTGCCATACACTTCAAGTTTGGTCCTGGTACTGTGCTAAATTGGAAAGTTAACCAGGAATAGACAGTCCACAACTTAAAAAGGGACACGTATCTCTCCGAAACCCAGTGCAATAGGGACCTTATTAAAGCAACGAGAACGTTGACGTCCAGGACGTCGAAAATGGAAACCGGAAGTGGATATTTTCTGTCTTCCAGTGCTCTGACACTTCAAATTCCTACAGTGGAAGGTAAAAGGGTTCGTTGTGTGAGACAGAAGCGTTCCATCAAGCGAAACATTGAACTTCCGGTTGCTATTCATGAAGTCCACGATGGTCAGTGTTTCATGTTGTTAAAGTTCGTTTGACATGAAAATGCAATGTGTCACAGGCTAAAGATAAACAAAGGTTATAATTAGATTCACATTTCAAGAGTGGTTTCTTCTTTGTTTGATTATTTCTCTACCTTTTTATTTAAATCATGATTATTTCTATTTCTTTTTATATTTCTATGCACTGTTTCCATTCCCCTTCCTATTCAGATTTTTGTTCGTTTTTTCCCCTATTTTTTGCATATACCTGAGTAGGAATTATAATTTAAAAAAAGTTAAAAATCCAAATTAGCTTAAATTAAGATAAATGTTGTCCCTGTTTCAGTATAGGTTCCTCTTCCCATTACGGTTCCTATTCTAGTTCCGGTTACCCTTTCCTGTTCCTGTTCCTATTCCCATTCCTATTCCGGATTCTGGTTTCCTGCTTTTCCAGACGTCCGATTTTACCTGTAGTCGAGATTAAATAGCTAATGTAAAGCTGTTTTTTTGCAGAAGGAAGAAGATTCAGTAGTCATGTTTGACCAAGACATTCTAAAAGACATTGACTTCAGTAAAGGAGAATGTAGACTACATAAACGTGGTTTGTCTATCGATAATCCTGGTGACAATTTGTTGTTAAGACCACTATGCAGTGATGATTATGAAAAAGGTAAATGTTGTTTTTGTCATGACTCTAAGGTCCTGTTCACACAATGCAAAATTTGGTTTGTTTTGCAAAAAAATCTGTCAACAGGAAGCCATTTCTAGTGCGAATGATTTTTCCAACTACCAAAATTTTCTCGACTGCCACCAAACTTCAAAGATGCCGTTGAGAACATTTGGAGGCGTACAATTTTTTGCCAGGCAACAAAATCCTTTGATTCTTGACAGCTATCCTTTGTCGGGTCATCTTATTTCGCAAACATGACCAGAGGGGAAAAAGTTGTAAAAACAAAAAATTGGTGATAACAAAATTTCCAAATTTTTTGCTAGCATGAGTGTGAACAGGGCCTAAATCAGAATTTACTCACTTATCAATGTTATGCCCTTTGCCCTATTATACCTCACCTGCACCCGTATGGCTTGGTGTATTAGTAATGTAGAAATGATGATGATGATACCTTTATTAAAGTGTCAAAACTGTAATAGCGGTGTATAACCACTAAGTGGGGACACTAAAATAAATTTAAAAAGAATAAATCAATTAACAAATTAATTAAAATTAAGAAAAACTATGTAATCTTGTCAATCATAATACTGTCCATAGATGTCCTTCTGCAACCAAGTGCCATTGTCTGGTACTTGTCCAAATTGCCCTTTAGTAAATTAGCTCTGTACCATGAAGATGCTGACTCAGCACAAACATCAATATCATCATGCACATCAGAGAGGGTGCTGCGAACGACATAAAACTGTTGGTCATCTGCATACATATTCATGTTCGCATCAACAGTATAAGTCAAATCGTTTTGGAAGATGTTCCAGATGAGAGGTCCAAATGCATAACCCTGTGGGCATCCCCTGGTCACCCTCTGCCACTCGCTCACTACAGATCCTAGCTTGACCCTGTTATAATGGTATGTGAAGTAGGAGCCCATCAATCGCAGACTTCTTTCCTCAACACCATAAGCTTTAAGTTTTGCAAGTGTAAGTGGATGGTAAAGTGAATCGAAGGCTTTGCTCATGTCCGTGGAGAGAACACCCACAACGTTATGCTCATCCAGAGCGAATTTCCAATTCTCAGTCAAAGATAAGAGAGCTGTCTCACAGCTATTGTTTTTCCTGTAAGCAGTTAGTTTGTCGCACAGTTTGTTATTAAAACCATAACTGAGTTGCTTGCTGAGTAATTGTTCAAAGAGTTTGTTTACAGTAACTTGTACAGTTATGGGTAACTACCCTTCACATGTATATCGATTGAAGGGCAATGACTTTCTGTCACACAACGGTGATGATTATATTGTCTATGTTGTTTGTAATTTAGAAAGCCAATTTTAAGTTCATTTTTTTTATTGACATTTTGATTAAGTGCATCTGAACAATCAATGAAGGAACACTACCGGCTGATTGGAAACATGCTATCATCACACCAGTTCACAAAGCTGGTTTGAAATTGGATCCATCGAACTTCCGGCCGATCTCAGTACTTACAGTTTTCTCCAAAATACTTGAACGGGCTGTCCACTGTATGGTCTACAGCTATTTACAGGAACACAGGCTTCTTTCTCCTCTCCAACCCGGCTTTCGCCACTTCCCTCTACATGCACATGCCTCACACACCTGACAAACACTCTGCTGGAAAACATTGACAAAGGACTAATAACTGGCCTTATATTTTTAGACCTAAGCAAGGCCTTTGACACCTTAGATCATAGTATCATGTTAGATAAGTTAAGTTCACTAGGAATGAATCGCTCTACTGTCCAATGGTTTAGGTCCTATTTAACCATCATGCTCACCCAAAGTGTTTGCACTAATGGGGTCTTGTCTGAGCCCCAGCCTATATCTTTCGGGGTCCCCCAGAGTAGCATACGTGGCCCTTTATTATTTATCATCTACATAAATGACTTACTTATGGCAGTTCAAGGTTGTAGCGTCAAGCTTTATGCTCATCTATTTTGCAAGCAAGTCAGTCAGTGAAATTCAAGCTCAGTTAACTAGTGACCTAACTAATATCCTAAGCTGGCTTCACACTAATTTTCTAATACTTAATCTTGAAAAAATGAAGATTATGCTTGTTGGTACCTATCAGAGGACCAATTTTCAAGAGAGACCACAGTCTGAACTTGGCACATGGAATCTCAAGCTTTGCCTCGGGATATTATTCGTGTAGTGCTAATTTATCTGAGATCATATTATGGCAAAATTGATTCCTTGTCGTTGAGAAAAGTGCTGTATTTGTTTCAAAAGGTTGTACACAAGGTTGAGCGTTTTTTGGACATAGTGGAAATTTGTTGTGAATGACTCACGTTTTAATTTTCTCCCCAGGTTTTCCAGCAATTCAAAATAACCTCACTAAAGTTGGAGATGTTACAAAGGAACTCTTTCTGAGTAAGAAATAAACTTCTTAGATGGACCCTTGTACTGCTGCTCATTTTTTCTCCTCAGGAAAGTTAATTTTTAAAAGTTTTGTTAGTTAGGTAAATACTTTGTTTAGCTTTTAGTGTCAACCAATTACAGTCATTACTAGTATCTAGAGTGGATAATTGTCATCTTAACTGTTAAAAACCCAAAGTTTTGCCTTTTCTTAAGGTGGCTCGACTGGATTATTTTGGGGGGATATCTTCCAAGTTTGAGTATTTACTACGTCGCCATGAGTAAAGATATGGAAAAAAGTTTTCACAACTGTATTATATAAAGATGAAAATTTCTTATGATTTGGGTTTTATTGCAATTGGAGTCGTCATGGCAACGTAACGACGCCATTATGTTTTTTATTTATCTTTGAGTTTCTCTGTACCAGGAGTTTTTTTAAGAAATCGCTTAAGGGAGTTTGTACCTGCCATAATTGCCTCAATTATGGCAGAGTTTGAACAAATTCTATGAGAGCATTTTCGAAATATTTTGAAACGAAGTTTTAAGCATCATAAAAACAGTGAAATAGCATTGTATCCACACAATTGGCTAATTTTTTAAGAAAATGATAAGCTTTGGAAACGCGGCTTCATCTCATAGTGGTTTGATTCCATTGAAAACTGTGTACAAAAAAAGAGCGGAATTGTTCTGGGCGATAGCGAGTAACAAGAATTTTATTAACTTGCATTTAGCTGCTTTTGTTACAGTTTTTGCACGTAAGTTGGTCCACGCCTACAAATTTCGCACTTTTCAAAAAACCGCTCGATAATTTTTTTTATAAATTTGACAATCCCGAGATCAATCGTCAATAAATATACCCTGCAAGATTCAAGAACATTGAAAACAGGGAAGGCTTATAAATAGGGCCTCAAATGTGACCAATTTTTCCCCCAGATTTTGTGTTTACAAGTGAGGGTCCTTATTATTCACTGGCATTGTTTTCAAGTTTCACTCTCGATTACTTTCAGAAGAAAAATATCCGGAATATGCTAATAATTGGCTTGTGTCACAGACAGCAGTGAGAGGCAAGACGGTGAACGTCACGGCTCATCTTGTAGGATGTAACACTGAATTATCTTACTCGGGTTATAACATCACAGAAACTCTTACAAAGAGTTGCTTTGATGTTAGAATATATCACTAATTTCTTTATCCGGTTATTAGCATATTCCGGAGATTTAACCGAGGGTCCTTTTTGATGCAAATTCTATAAATCGTGCATATGAAAATAATTGAAAACGATGCCAGTGAATAATGTAGACGCAATCACTTGTAAACACAAAATCAGGGGAAAAAATTGGTTATATTTGAGCTCTTATTTAAAAGCCTTCCCTGTTTTCAATGTTCTTTGTGAGGGTATATTTATTGACAATTGACGGACTGAATTTTATGGACCAAATTACAAATTGTGACAAAAGCAGCTGAATGGTTAATAAAACATCACAAAGAAACGCAGTTTTCTGGAATACAAATGAAGTTGCTTTTGATGTTAGAATATGATGCTTAAAACGTTTCAAAAATTTTTCATAGAATTTTTATCAATAATTGAGGTTACAAACTCCCTTAGATCTCTTAAAAAATACAGAGAAACTCAAAGATAAATAAAAAACGTAATGGGTCGTACGTTTTTTGAATAAAACCCAGATCATAACAAATTTTAGGAGTATCAACTCTTATGTTTAGTTTAATAATGAAAGGAATAATCTAAGGTGGCTAGCAAAATTAAATCAAGGTTTTCAGTACCTTAGGTTACACACAAAACTTGACACACAGCAAATACAGGTGCTGTATTCAGTTTTTTACTGCAGAGGTCTTATATATTTCCCCATTGGATTTCTTTAGAGCGTTTCCATGCTATGAAGTCTTGTCCTGGTACGTATTATATCATTGTGGTGGAGGATACAGAGCTGGCAAAAATTGTGGCGTGTGGAACACTTTTCATAGAGCAGAAGTTCATTCATGAAATTGCTATAGTATGTATCTTTATACTTAGGTGAAGTCAATACTATTATTGTGGTACTCTACAGTTGAACTTCCATTTAAGCAGCCACCCTCTGGGTGCTGGTAGGTGGGCAGTCAACTTAGAGATCAGTCAGAAATTAGCATAATCATTAGCAGAAGCAAAGAAAATGTGCATTATCATTCAATAACTATTATAGAGAAATTGAAGTTGGCAGTCTGGCCAAGTGGTTAATGTGTAGTGGACTGGAATTTCAGTTCAAATCCTGCTCTCACTCCGTGCTGGATTTGTTCTTGGATGTCCCAAGTTCAGTTATTCTGCGACACACTTGCCAATAGGTACCATGTATAAAAATTCTTTTTTTTGTATGCAGAAATGGCTTTCTATAAATGCTCAACAATATCTTCAAGTTTTATAGTATGCATTAAGAGTATTTCAAGTACAGGAAGCAATTTATATGATAGCCCACAGTCCATCCCTGAATAGCGGGTATACAACAACAAATTCCAGCAAGCTGGACCAGGCTGATCAAGTCACAAGTCACATAACGTTTCAATCCACTGTGAACAACAAAGCCAATACCTCATACATTTTAATGTTCTCTCTGCCACTGTAGAGAAAAATTATTAATGCAATCATAGGTAATTGAGTGGAATGGTTATGAAACCCGTCAGACTCCTTTGTTATATGTTTTTGTGGACCTGAAAGTGCACAACGTTCAAAAGAATTCCTATCATTTTGATTGTATTGACCAATAAGAACATTGCATTAATTTATTCCGTAACAATTTGCCAACAGAAAACAAAGGATTGTCCACTTTCACGGTGCTTTGAACATAAACTGCAGCACTATTGTATTTATCATTGATGTTTGCCGCTTTTCATAACCAGTCTCCTCTAATAACTATGATGCAATCTTTGAAGTTTAGGTGTTTTTTTGTTGTTGATGTTGTGCCCTGATTATTTAGAAAGTGTGGTATGCTGAAGCCTTTACTGTGTGTTATTCTCAAAATATCTAAATTGTTATTATTAACAGCGAGGGAGAGTTGAAGACATTGTCGTTGATGACAGCTGTAGAGGGAGAGGACTTGGAAAACTGTAAGTACAGTCAAACCTCTGCTTATAGACACTTTCCATGAGTTGTCATTTCTAACCTTGAAAAGCTGCTGCCAATGTTTTCTATGATTCCAAGGGTGTCTGTTTTCAAGAGGTTCTTCTTGTTAAACTACTAACCGCCACCTGGTTAGCTCAATTCGTTAAGCACTGGTCTGCTGAGGAGTAGCCTGTTCCAGGCTCTGAGGTAGTTGGGTCTGCAGGTCGAGAAAACACGAACATGAAAATAAAATGGGAGGAAACTGGGGAGAGGAAGGGCGGCAGAGCCTGCAATCATTTCTTTAAACGGCTTGTTCTGGTATACCAGCTCCTGGTATAGTTGGTCAGATTTGACTGGTTATATGCAGCATGCACGCGCATGAAATAGAGGAATCCACAATACCTTCACTATATGTTCACACATAGGGGCGTTGAGGAAGGAACAGAAGACCTACCTTGTGAACTTGTCATGTAGAGAATATGTTTTTGCAATCCTGCTGACTGGCTCCAGCAAAAGTTTGATATTTCAGGTGTATCCATGTTTGGAAAGACTCACATTATCTTTAAAAAAACAAGCTGTAGTTTAAAAGTCATTGCATAAAATAATAATAATAATAATAATAATAATAATAAAGTCTTAGTTTATTCATCAAAAGATAAAAAAACAGATCTTTTGTTACAAGTAAGCGTAAGAAATTTCAAAAAGGTAAAAAGTAAGAATTAAAACAAATGTAGTCAATATTACATAGCTAATTCTTATTTAAAGAGCAATCATGACTAAGCCACAATGCAAATTCTCCATAAAAAATGTTAGTTGACTTGACAGCCGAAATCTAATTATCTCAAACGTGCCGAAAGTGAGCAAAAGAGGGTCATGAAAGAAATTATTACAGGCTCTATTTCCCTACCTTTTTCCTTTTTCCTGCCCTGCCCCCCTTTTCATGTACCTTTCACTGGTTGGACCAATATTCATGATGTTGTTGTTGATGATGATGATGATGATGATGAAGGTGATGATGTGGAAGTAAATGCATCCACATCATAAAGTACATTCTCTAATTTAACGAAAAATACCAACACAAAAATTCTCTATGTTGTCTTCCAGGGTTGTTGAGACCTTGCTGTTACTCAGTGAGAAGTTAGGATGTTACAAGACCAGTCTTGAGTGTAAAGATCCTCTGCTTCCTTTTTACAGTCAGTTTGGATTCAAAAAGGAGAATCAGCAAAACTATCTTTGTAAACGGTTTTTTCATTGAGATGTCAACAAACAAATGCTCATGACATACTAACATGTCAGCAAATGCTCTTCTTAGGAATTCTGGTTAGCCTGTGACAGGAAAGAGAAATGTTCTTTTCTCAGCTTGCTTTACTGAACAGTCTTCTCACAACTCATCTGTTCTCTTTTTTCAGTATAATATATGAAAGGGGACCCCTTCATACACAAGTCAAATAAATTTTACAGTCTCAGTGGGAGGGCAGATCAGACAAAACTAAACCTCTTAAGTTTATCTGTGCCAAAATCCTTGCTGTTGTATCTGTAAGTTCTGCATATCTGCTCAGGTTTTAAGTGCCTATAACATATTTTTTTTACTATGTTAACTGAAAAAACACATTACTACAAAAACTTCTTTGAAAAAATTTGACAATTTCAACAAGATGAGTTTTTTGTAAAATTTTGAAAGTCTCAGTTTCTTTGGCTCAGCCATTCCACTGATCATGAAAGTGAAGGGCTCATATGTGACATTTATATGCCGCAGTTATTCAGGAACTGAAAAACAGGATTTTATGCATGCTTATCCCTTTCTTAGGGTCACCAGTGTTGTTGCATCTGATAACTTCAACCCATCTTTACTGGAATGTTTTACCTTTTTAAGAGAAGAGAGAGGAAGACTAAGATGGATGAAGTGCCAAAATAGTGGCAGATTTGAACTTTTCAAAAGAATTCAAAAAAAACATGTTGTGTTCAAATCACAAATTTTTTTTGTGTACTTTGAATTGAAAAAAAAGTAAAACTTTTTAGGTTATGGGCACTTTATAATTATGCACTAGGCATGACTTAGGTACAATAGTGCAATAGCAAGTATGGTATGTTTCACCATCTGCAAATTAGGTTTAGTCAGTACTTTAAATTGTTTAAAAAAATTCTTGCAGAAAAAGACACAAATTAATTTTATTCATGCAGTGGCATCGGTCAAATTAAATTATCATCATTAGTATTATATGCTGGATATATTTTAAGAGAAGGTGACAGGGGTATTTATAGTTAAAAAGTATGCTTGCAGAATCAGTGGTGAAAAATATCGGTTCCCACCATTTTCCAATCCTTATCACCACTGGAAAGTTGTATATTTTATTAAAATCATAATAATACAATATTTTTGGCTTACTGTGTTTTGAGGAACCATTTTAAGAGTTATCAAATTAACCTTTTTTCCAGAGACGGCTATAACGTGGTTCAAATGGTATTTCTTAGGGTACTGTTGTTAACAGTTTGTGGGTGTGCAAAGTAATGGTAATTATTCTGAAAATTTCCAATGTTATTGTAGGGAAACTTCTGTTCAAAATACTGTGCTACTAGTGATAGGCATTTTATGCAATAGATTACTTTCATGATAATAAAATCATGTCAATTGGAAAAGAGAAAAAAAGGAAATAATGAATTTTATATTTTAGTTAAATAGCTTATGGCTACAATGCAGGAAAAGGATTACTGATATCTTGTTGTAAATAGCTCTGGGACAGTGGTAATTAAAATTGCAGAGTTTCCATGTGAATGCAATCTGTGCTGATTAATGAAATTTAACCTGGTAGTTTTCTTTGAATGTAGATATATCTTTATAACTTTCCAAGCACTTCCCATGCTATCAGTTATGGCCCTGTGATAGTTAATCTGTGGCTTTTACTATTTGAAATTCAGGATTTCACAATTGTCACAATTTGTGGCCACTGAAAGAACATAATTGTTTCAGCAATTATTTGTGATGTGTGACATGGTCACACTTTTTTTTACATATGAATGTAATTTTGCAGAGGGGTATATAGGGGAATCATTGTCTTTGGCGCAGTCAAAACGTTTCACAGAAGTAAGGTAGGATAATGAGCTGGTCTTATAAAATATTAGTTAACATTCACACTAATAGATACTTTAATTTATTAATCATGTTCATCCATACTTTGTACAGGAAATAAATTATTAATACCATATGAACAAACAATTGAACCATAATCTGACAGAGAAGTAACTAACATACAATCTAAACATTAATTAACTTACGTGTACTTTAGACCTTACTGACGTATATTTTTTTTCTTTTAAAATCATTACAATAGAACTTTCTGGGAGAAAGTGACATCTCATTTTAACAATAAATAACACAAAGTGCCTAGAGATCAGTAATAAATTTTATCATTTTTCTCAGTTGTCAAATAACAGCTGTTCTAGAGAGCAACAACTGTTTTATGTTGGACTAATGTCTTTAAGACATTAGACATTAGATTTAAAAATCTTCTCGATTTCCTCTTTTCTCTTTAAAATAATAAAACTTTCCTTAAAACTAAAAATAGCTCTAGTTTTGACAAATTAAGGACTATAAACTCAAATTGTTTCTTCAATAGAAAGTAGTTATATTATAACAACCTTTTAAAAACATAGTTATAGTAGTTACAGTATAACAACATTTTAAAAACATAAAATATGTACTTCTAACTGGTAAAAATATTGTTACTTTAACTGAGACATTGAAAAGCAAAATGCAGAAATGGCAGACAGTAAAAAGAAACAAGCTTTTACCCTACAGCATATTTTAATTTTTCACCATGTTTTCTCTACACTATGTAATTTAGGAAGGTTTCACCACCCACTATCATCAGTCAAAGTACTCATTTTTGTCCTTTGTCAAATGTTGAATTTTACTTTAAATGTAGGGGTACAACTTGCTGCTCATCATCAAGGGAGGGCTGACTGAACACTCAACTTCATCATTACTAGTTACAGGGTTCGTCTAAAGTCTTGAGATTTGCCCAGCAAGTTTCTAGACCTGGAAAACGTCTGGAAAATAGAGATAAAGTCTTGAAAAATGATAAAAAGTCTTAAGGGTTTTTTTTTTGGAAGCTACAACAAGTGTTTTATGAAGGACATTTTTTTCGTTTTGCTCAAATCTTACTCAGTCTTCAGTGCCTGTATGTTAGCAGCAGTGCATCATAAAAAAGCTTTGTTCCTGCTTTTTTTAAGGTCTCGAATTATAACCACTGAAAAAAGAAATTATTGTTTTGGAAAAAGTCTGGGAAAAGTCTTAAATTTTGGATCCAAAAATCTGTATGAACCCTGTGGTTACTTCATTAGATGATAATCACTTGTTGACCTCATCATTTGTTTCAATTAATATTGCATTAATCAGTTGTGACAATTTTGTTTTCTAATTTCAAAACATTTCCAGCCTAGCCAATATCATGAAAACAGCATACTTTGAATGTTGATCATGATGACCTCACTGACTCCCTACACAGAAAAGGATTAAGTATCAGGTACAAAGGATTAAGTACAAAGTGTTATTTTCTTCACACTTTATAAATTAAATTATCTACACTTAACAATAGCAATTAAATAATTACATTTAAAATAAAATATAAACTAGTTAAAATTATAATAACAATATCATAAAAATAATTTAATATAGTGATAATTTAGGGCACCATTTTCCCTCAACATTTTAAGTCTCACTTGCTGTTATTATAAGCATCTTCTGGAGGCTCAAGCCCAGTATGCAATGTAATTTGTACATTTCGACTTAAACTAAATGCTGCATAGAAAGCTTCTGGAATATCTGGCAATCGCATCATCCCTCTTTTCTGATCATTCAAGTAAAAAGTCACTTTGTGATTAGGAATGTCCAATAACACTCCAATAACAGATCCAACATCTACTCCACCATCACGGCGATTGGAATGCTCATTGTTATGACGGAACCAACTGCGACTGCTATCAATGTACATGCACCATGCTTTGTCATCTTTACCAAGAATGGAGTCTTTGATGGTACTGCCCAGTGCCACACCAACAGCGGGATCTGGGTTTCCATCGTACCTATCTATAGTAACTTCCCAATAATGGCAGCCTCGCGAGAAGCCAATGTTACCGAGAACAACTCTGTCATCAAAGCTGGTACATGTTGTGGTGGTGTTGTCATTAGTCAAGACTATGTCTGGGTGGGCAGTAGAGGGATCCAGTGCAAACCATGCGACTGTAGGTAATAAGCAAACAACATTTAATTTCGGTACTTGTAGTTAATAAGTTGTCTCAGAGCAACATCTATACCTCTGTTGGCAAGGGGTTTGGTTGCGGATGATGCTATCATCTCTCGAACTTTTTAATCAACTTTCATCTTTCATTGGGCTCACCATCCCCTTAATAATTTCAGAATCCAGATTTATAGCTTAAGGTGCACATCTTTTCTATATGATTTGTGTCCACCAAGATTAAACTGACTCAAAATTGCAAACAACTTGGGAAAATTCATGTTACCAAGGTCAGCCAAAACAGTTACAGAGAACAATACTTAAATTACTGGTTATTTCTTGGATTTAAATTCATGGTAATTTTCTTATGGTATGCTAGCAAACATTTACCAAATTTGGGACTTCTGATTTTTTCTGCAATTAAGAGGTATGGTATTGTTAAGTCTTGGGTGCAAATCAACAACAGGCTACTCAGAAAAAGGGGGAATAAAATTGTTATAAGTTAAAATGGTCTGCTTACTGTCAGATGTGGTGAGGTAGACCTCATCACTTGGAGCTCCCTCTCCAGCTTTATTGAACCCTTTAACTCTGGCCCTGTACGTCGAGTTAAACTGAAGACCAGATATAGTACACTCCAAATTATCACCTCTGTAAACCTGCAAAAAATTGTGCTCTTTGCCACTCGAAGTACCGTCATCAACTTCAACCACATAGCCATCAACACAGCTTTGTTTACGTGGTTTCCAAGACAATTTTATGGCATTGTTTGTGACAGTACATTCGTCTGGGATTATTTCTGGGGCCATTGGAGCTGTGAAACAAAAGTAAAAAGTGTTGTATTAATTGTTACCAAATGCATATTTTAAAACAGAAAGGCTGAGACAGAAGTTAGGATTTCCAGCAGCTGACTTAAAGAAAGTATATTGAAAAATCCCAGAATCACATAATATAAAAAATTCTAGCATATGTCACTTGAATCATTCAAGGCCACGTTTTTTTAGTTATATAAGATTATAATACTTAACAGTCAACTCTCTAAAATCTACTATGCTGTTGAGACCATCAGTTATGTGTCTGTCTTAGAAACTGCTGTATCTGCCCTTAACAGAAGGGTAAGCTAGGGGAGTCCAAATCTTAAAGCCCTTTTTCAATAATATCTTGTAAAATATTAAACATTGTTGTGTAATTATACCCTTTAATTCTCCTGCTTCCCACCCTTTTAGAAGTCTCCCACCTCTTACCCTTTCCTCTCCCTGCTTCCATATCCCTTTTCTCTAAGGCTCCAACTCCCAATCCTCCCTTACTAGCGAGACCAACTGTAGGTGTCAATGTTAGGGAGGGGTCTGTAAGTCCTATATAAGCATGTTTATTTACTAGGAAGAGTTCACTTATAGTGGGTGGTTAAGTGTTTGTATGCTCTCACCTTTAAGCTCAATAAAGTGCAGATCATGAAGAGCCTGTTGCACAGCTACTGTGTCTAGAGTCAGGTCAAGCTCTACCTTTGTGCTTGGTTCCAAGTTTACTTCCTTTGACCATTGATTGGCAAGGCTTGTAATTCTGAAATAAAAATCACTTTAATTTAAAGACAAAACAGGTTCTTTTACTTCCAAAAAAGACAACTTAATGAAAACAAAATGCAAAACAATGTTTTAGAAATAATTTTTTTTATTATTATTAGTAGTAGTATTAGTTGTTTGTATAACTCACCTGCTATTTAAAGAGTTTGCAACCTAAAAATAAAAATAAATGATCGTCATTATCTCAAATTCTTGGCATTTAACAATATTTCACTCTTATCTCTTTATATGCACATGCAGCCACTTAATATTTGGATCCATTGCACCTCCATTTGGCCACTGATGTAGTACAATAGGGCCATTTATAAGAGGAAAAATAAGACGCGTCTTAAATAAGACGCGAACTTTCTGTATAAATGGCACATTTCGTCTAAAATAAGGCGCGGCTTAGCCAAGACACGTCTTATTAGATAAGACATGTTCGTATAAATGGTACAGTTCGCGTCTTATTTAAGACGCGTCTTATTTTTCCTCGTATAAATGGCCCTAATATGTCATTAAATAAAGCAGCATTATGTGTGCGCAGTGTTAACCATTAATTTTCGCCCAAATTGTTACCAAAGATGCCTTTAACTATCAATAATATTATCTTAATAAAATTAAGGCTAGTCCAGGGAAAAACACATTTGAACCTCTCCACAACAGCCACTTTGGGGACAGCGGCCCTTGTGGAGAGGTTTAAACATGCAGCGTGCAAAGAAAGTAGTGTCCGATAGCCCGGGGCTAGTGGATTTTGCTATCGGGCTAGTGAATTCTGTTTTTAACTTGCCCGACGGGCAAGTGATATTTTTTTAGGAATTCGAATAACAGAAGAACTGTAATTAATCCTGCTCATCCAATTTTTTTTCTGGCTAGTTGAAATGACTTTCGGGCAAGTACATGCTAGCTACAGCTTGCCCGAATGGCAAGCTGTAAAACTGACTTTCTTTGCACCCTGACATGAGTCAATGTATGGACTGTCCGCCGAAAAAAGTGGCTGTTGTAGAGAGCTGTGGCCATTAGTGGAAGTTTGACTGTATTAGTACAAGCTCTGCCAAGGTAGAGATCCTAGCCCACTCCCTTTGTTTCATTAGCACTTTCAGGGTGAAGTTGATAGTTGATCAGTCTTACCAACAGGAAGGAAGCAGCATCTGTCTCTTGTAAACACTCATTACCATACTGAAGAAGACCAGCAACACTTTGGAACTTTTTCTCGCAAGTTTTCATTTGTTCTTTCAACTTTTGTATCTTTAAGTTCATCTCTGCCGTGATAGCTTCAATTAATCCCAATTTGCGTTGTTGAATAAAGCTTATCAATGCATCACACTGCGCAACAACACTGGCCTCAAATTCCAAACCATTTTCCTAGAACAACAACACTCTAATATTATTTTAGATCTGCTAGATAACCACCCTTACAATATTGGGTGGCCTGTGCAAGCTGGAATGAATTTGGTTCAATGTGAGAACACAAAAAAAATTACCACCATTCTATTTGCATTGGAAAATTTTATCAACAGTGCTAGCTACAAGAAGCACAGGTATCCCAACCTTTGAATAGGAGCTTTACACAGCCTTTGAATTGAAAATGGAGAATCACAATACTTTTCTGTGCCAAGTTAATGACAAGGGTTTATTAAACTTTGCTGGGTGCATATATGCAAGCAATTACACCAACAAGTAAAACAAAATTCACTGATGTGAGGCAAAATGCCTTTGATGAATCTTTTTCATCTGTGATGTCTATATATTAGAGGCTGACAAATACCAATATAAACCATACTTATTTACTCTGTACAGAACAGCACATGGTGCTCAAAGTACAATCATGTACGATGTTGGATATAAAGGTCTCCAAGCCTGGGGTACCTGTGCAAGAAGACTGTGTACAAATTTTTTCCTTGAATTTTTACCTGAATAACTGAGCAATTCCCATACAGTTGTTGGATGAAGTTCCTTAATTCACTGTTCTTCCCATCCAGTAACTTCATATTTGCTAAAAGTTCACCCTGAAACGATGGCATTTCAAGTACTGACTGAGATTTACACCAAACTACATTACTAATAATGTTTAGCTCTGCTGTTGGTCAGATTTTAGCCTCGAATCAGCTTTAATTCATAGAACCAGTTTTTGCAGTAAATTCTTGGGTTTTTTGTTCTTCTTCTTCTTGTTATGCAAAAAACAGTATGTTACATTAGGTCCAATAAAAATGGAGGGATGTTTAAAATATTGTCGAGACCTTATTTTTGTATCATGTTTTCAATGCATGCCATGGCTAGATCAGTATTCTTTACACCCTAAAATGAAAACGTTTATATTTTATTTATGCACGACTCATTGCACTATGTCTTCTCCCATATAATTATTTCTGGGGAAGCAGAAAAATAAACACTAAAATTTCTGATACAATCAAGATGGCCTTCTAGGGGATAAAAGCCTTGACAATGCGTTCATATCAATTTTCAGTGCCAGTTTGTAATCTGATACATTTTGACCGCTAAAAAGACACTTCTACTCTGAATAACTTTGCAAGTATTATCACAAAAATTACATTTTGTACACCAGATAACTTGAGCACTAATTTTTGGGCTAGTATAAGCTTTTTTTTGGTAAAAATCATTAGTTTTGAAAAAAAATCGTAAAACAAAATTGACACTCGATTTTGTTTTTCTTCATGCAAGAAACAGTGTTCTGCACCGTGTCTCCTAACAAATAATATTGTATTCTGTTCAAACAGAGAAATGAAAACTGAAATCTCTGATACAACAAGATAGCCAGCTCTTAGGGTATAACACACTATGAATACTAAAATTTTCATATCAAATTTCAGGGGCAGTTTATTTCTGGAATTGGACTGCTAAAAAGACACTTCTTCTCTGAATATGACCTTACACTCACGATCACGGAAGGTACATATTTCAAGGAAAGCCATTTTTATTTTTTTTTAAATCTTATATATCAATATTTTTGGGAAAAATAAGAAAACAAAAAAATAATCTCATTTCCTTTTTACGATGGTTTAAAAAGCGATATTACGCCTCAAAAAAAGAATGTCAAGGGATCTCTATTTTCCAAAATTTTCACTCACACGAGCATTAATTAAATATTCACATCAAGCGACATTTGCATATGCCAGCCAAGATCTAGCTCACAAAAAAATCAACAACTCTTGTTCAACTCTGTCTTACATTTAAGATTAAATTCATAAAGAGCTACAGTGTAGCGAATTAATCATCGACTTACATGCCAAGGCCTAATTTGGTCAGAAATGGAATCAACACGGGGTACACGATGGAACGTTTTTAAAAATCAATTTCGTGCGCGCCCTAAATACATCAAAGATTATTTTATACACTTCTAAATACAATGACAGATCGCCGAGGGGAAAGACAAAATGCAAATTTTAGACATCCCCTACCTTCTGCTCTTTGAACATCGCACCTAAAGCCTTAACTTCGTGTCCGCTGTGCTGTCCTCGTTCCAAACACACATAACACACAGGAACACGACAGAAGACACAGTACATGCTTATGTTTTCTTCGTTGTGATTCCCGCATTTAAGAACTGTCGGCTTGTGCGGTAATTTTGACCTCGAAGGGGTGACAAGGGAATGTTTCGCGAGTGGTCCACGGCTAGGATGACAGGTTTTACAGCAGCGATCGCAATAAGCAACTTCACATTGTTCACACATTACACTAGCCTGGGAAGGTTGGTTTTCGTCGCAAAGTTGACAATAAACAATTCCATTAGATTTTGCATAATAGCGATTGACAATATTTTCCAAGAGGTGGTTTCGTGGAAAACTGCTCACCCCTCGGCTGTCAAGAGGAAAGAGCTTTTTACACGTTGGACACCTTAAGCAGGGAAGATTTCCGATGCTTTGGTACAAGTGGTTTGTATTCACGTCATACAAAGTAACGTAAGGTGTTTCTTCGCTGCCATTTCCAGAAGTCGGAAGATCTCCACTGGCAGTGGTCACCAGTGTTTGCGAACAACTCAAGCAAACACTGTGAGAACAAGGAAGGACAATAGGGCTGACAAACGGCTTTTTACAAACTGGACAAGTCAATTCTGCCTCCATTTCATCGGATTTTTTTGGACTCCCAACTTGTTTTACGCCGCGAGAGAAGTGAAAAAAACAGTTTGTTGGTTTTCATGCACCAACATATTAGCGCCAAATTAGCACGTGCCAGTTCCGCGATGCGGATTGGCTGATATTTTTAGCAGGATAATCTGATTGGTTCCTTATTTGTTTTCTTGTTGACAGGATCCAGCTGCATTTGAAATTTCTTTCCGAGGAAACCTCCCTTATTGATCCCTATAAAATATGGAAAACCAGCATTAAAAATAAATAATTGTGCTTTCAATTTAGCATATAACGCCGTTGATTTAATAAACGACGTTGACCTTAGTTGGAACAAGACATTTGCATAATATGTTCGGTGAATTTAACAATCGATTTTCTCTGTGTGAGCTGTGGCAATTTTAACAACAAAAGAATTAAATTTTTAAACGCAGCCTCAGATGAGGCAAATTATTTTTTATTGATACACGTGCCATTGCTTAACATTACAATGGCGGCATGCTCCTATTCAAAACATCACAAAGGGGATTAAAATAAAGAAACAAAAAGATTGAGCAGTTTAAACATCATAATTTTGCCACATGCAGTGAAAGAAACATTTGTAACCTGCTAATTTATCTACCAAGAAATCGAAAGAAACCCTTAAAGCGGACCTTTTTTCTCTTTTTTTTTTCAAAGAATTCATACCCTTCTCTTTATAAGACTTCAAACTTGTATACATGCGACGCTTTCAACAAGATTTTTCAAGGGCTCTAAGCTGGGTCGAATTTGTGTCCCTTTAAAATCTGCTTCCAACCACTGAATAAAACTCCTCCCTAACTTACAGCGCTTTTGACACAAAATTCATGCGGAAAGAACTAAAACCAAACATATACCATAACGTCAAGATTTCTTTGTTTGTTCTTACGGTTTTTGAGCTCACGATAGAGAGAAAGAGCTGAGAAGGGCGGCCAGATCCAAAAGAAAATGTATTTTTCAAAAGTACACTTTAACTTCTAAATATAAGAACTATACACGTCTCAGTGATAATTTCTTTCATTCTTAATGTGCACTCCCAAAGATCAGCCAAAAAACTCACAGAACACGACAGAAATTGTTTATTCATTGTCCTTTTTGCCAGATGGAAGATCTTGAAAGTGTCTTGACAATCGACTGCACGTGTTCTTGTAAAAATATATGTGCGTGCCAAAGGACACGCGTGTGAAACTCAAGGATCGCGCGTGTTCCTGTGCTAACTGTTCGATCCGATTGCTACCAAGGTTACTATCTCAATTGACAACAAAGTCCTTTTTGTCGTGTCTGTAGGAAATAGTCGCCTCCCTTAGTAATGGAGTTGGAATTAACCTGCCCTGTTTGTTTAGATCTGTTCCAAAGACCTGTCGTTCTGCCATGTTCACATAATCTTTGTACACCATGTGCCAGGAAAATCTTGGAGCCTCACGGAACTCCCAAAGCCTGGGCCAAGTGGGTGAAAGAAAACCGAACCCCGGAGTACAAATCTCATTTAGACCCCAATGTTAAATGCCCAACATGTCGACAGAGAATTCCTGTTGATCCGATAGGGGTCGATGGACTGGCGAGGAATCTTATTTTGGAAAATGTCATTGAACGATTTAAGGAAGAAAGGAAAGCGCCAGGTAACATTGTTGATGAAATGTAGCTGTGATTTATTCTACACTACATTGAATATATATATATATTTTTAGTGTTCCATTTACATAAGATTCTACACCATACTTTTAGCACGAAAGGTCGGTTGTGTTATTTTAGACTCCGAGTTTGTTCAAATGAAGTTAAATAGCGAAATTTTGAGTGATGAAATATTTTCCCGCGAACATATTTTCGTATCTTCAGGAAACAAAAAAACAAGACTTTTCAAAGCAAAGTGCCAGCTTGACTGTAACAACGTTCAGTGCACAGCCTGAATGTTTGGAGTATTTGTACAATCAAAAATGTTGAGATGGAATGTTTTCATGCTAAACGGTCCTGAATAGAAATTCAGTCGCTTTTGGAAAGTGTAAAACAGAACTATTATTTTGTTTTTAATAATTGATTTACATTGGTTTTATTCTGTTACAAGAGTGATACACTAGTTAGTGTCATTAATTATATAACATGATATGGTTCTTCCCGAAACTAAAAGTGAAACATAGTTCAAAGGTAGGGAAAAGCGCCCAGGGGAAGAGGTTGCCATCAGCGATCTGGCGATAATTGTAAAACATGCACATATTGGACTTAAGTTTGCAGTGAAAAAATAGCCACTTCTCTATGTCGCTTGCCGGTTCGATTCTAAATTGAATGGCCAGTCTTAGGCCCTGTCCACGCTCGTTTGAAAACGCATACATTTCGATGCGTTCAGGGCTACCTTCCATACTAATGCGCAGAGCGTTCACATCGATTTGAAAGTCCTATTGAAAGTGAATCAAAACGAAAACGCATAAACGTAGTGTCAGTGTGTTCGGTCGGTAACGCAAAAAACGAAAACAATAACCGAAAAATATCACAGGCGGGTGTGTTTGTAGCATGCGCATAGAGTTCATCATAACGTCACAACGTGCAATGCTATCGTTTTCGAACGTTTTAGTGTGGACAGTCGAAAGCGCATCAAAACGGTAGTGTGGACGTGAATCGATCGTCCAAAACGCATGCCTTAGTATCCAATCTGTACCTTTCAACTTTTGATCAAGCAAGTTATACAATAAAACAAAGAACGGAAAAAATCCCGGTAAGCTGCGTTGCAATCTAGAAAGTTAGTGATCCTATTAAGGGAAATCAGAAGTTTAGTAAATGTTTAATAAACATTTTCTGAGCTGTACAATAAAAGTTAAAAGATTGAGTAGTCCCCTTTTTCCTGTGTGTTAAACACTGAGCAAACCGTTCGTTAGATCCTGTCCACGCTAGGAAGAACAAGAACTCAGGAAAATTGAATGGCTTGACGAGAAACAAGGCGCGGCGTAACGCGAAGAAAGACACTTAACAGTAATTCTGGGCTTGTTGTTACATTGCGCTTAGTACATTAAGGTACGTTAAGTTACATTGCATGACATTCCATTGTGCTATGTTGCATAACTCCCTTACAGGTGAAACACCCGAGGAGCCTCTCCTGTGTCAATTTTGTGAAGACTATTCTCCCCAAAGGGCTACTTTGTCGTGTAATGAATGTACGTTCATGTACTGTGGGACCTGTTTTGACGCGTGTCATCCCAGCAAGGGCCCTCTGGCTGATCACTCCATAGGCCCACCGGTAGCAAGGCCCGTAAAACGAAAAGAGACAAGCCTACAATGCCAGCAGCACACTGATGAAAAGTTAGCTTTGTACTGCGTTGACTGCAAGATGCCTGTGTGCTATCTATGTAAAGAATATGCAAAACACAAGGGTCACAAGGTGGAACTGCTGGAGCCTGTTTTTAGAAACTCAAAGGTAAAAAGCTCCTATATCATAACAGAGAGTTTTCTGGCTCCTGGCCTGCGTTGCAAATGTGATCAACCCCGGCTAGTAAGCCAAAGACTATTAGACACCTGACGGACTGACGCAAAGGGAGACAATCGTATGACAGCTGACTCTCCCTCGCCCCCTTTAACAGGGCAACAAAAAGGTGGGGAAATGAACGTCCGAATATCGAAACCCTTCCGGCCCTTGTCAATCTCCTCGTCAAATGCTACAACATTATATTCATTTTCACATGTGATGCTATGCTACAGACTTTAATTACAGTTTTTATTGTCAAAATTAGGAAGAATTAGCACGGCTATTGGGAACACTCACTAGGAAAAATTATCAAGTTCAAAAGTCATTGCAGTCCTTAGAGGGCATGTGCACTGTTGCCAAGGTAAGTTAACCTTATTAATAAGTCGATTGGATTATATAGCGAAAAGATACAGTAACAGTAAAATCACTCACAATGGACACCAAGTTGCTTAGGTAAAATCGAAAACAAGGAGAATTCTACCAAGGAGTGTCTTCTAGACAGTCCTCGGTTTTTCTTGATAAGTAACAAATTCTCAAAATGAGCGAGTTTACGCAAACGTTAATTTCGATCAACACCCTATTTTGTGTCCACGTCTGACCCTCAAAGTTGGCTGATCACCGAAAAATAACTCGTTTGTAAATTATACACCCTATGAAGGGCAGACTTGTGCGAAATCATGCACCCTCTTTAGGACAGAGAGGTCAAAAACCTACCCTGTCCTGCGACACATCCTCGTAGAACCCCAACCACTACTTGCGCTTCATAGACTCCCTCTCCAGCCGTAGGTGTCTCGATGCGCCCGCGGGTGCTTCCCACCCGAGGGGGGTATCGCGGTTGCATCGATCGAGATACAGTTGAAACTTTTTGAATTTATAGAAATCTGGTTGTGATGTCGAGGCTCATGTTAAAAGGGAATGTGATTCGTTAATCGCCATCATGGAGAAGAAGAAAGTTGAGCTTCTAAAGCGTGTAACTGAAGAGTACCAGGATAAACTGGACGAGATTAACAAAGCTATGCACCAGTGTGAACATGTACTACTGCAAGGTGATGGTTTAGCTGAGTTTACGCAAGAAGCTCTTAAGGAAGACAATCCTGCTACATTCCTACAGGTACGATATAAGAAGCCGTGTAGTAGGAACACGAACATGACTCGAGAATGGGTTGGAAATCGACCCTGTGAGTACATAAGTCAGTACACGTCAGAAATACGCTAAAAAAGAAATTCCTCATCATCATCATCAGTATTGCTATTATTATTTTAAAATAAAATTTCATGTAGTTGATTTTTACAGAGCCTATGTTTTATCATCGCGAAAAAACTAGACGAAAATGCTGGAATGTGAATGATAAACGTAGTTATATGTACCAAACAACTGAATTGCGTTTTGCGCTTGCTCTGACTGGTGGCTAGCTCAGATGGAAAAGCATTTACTATGTACATCATAGCAACCGTTAGCGCTGACGAAGAAGAATATTGAGTTTTCCTCATTAAAATGACCTGGACGGCTGAAAAATGTTAGGAAATCAGGAAGGTCAAACAATCGACAAAGCGGGGGCAAATAAATGAAAACCAAATTATTCCACTCTAAATCGTAATAGGTTAATATTTGTCATATGTTATTTTGTAGACTGCCAGTTCTCTGAAGACGAGGCTGAATCTTATGCTAGAAACAATCCGAAGTCTCCCCAGTGCCTCTTCCATCACGCCGACCTTTGATCACATGGCAGTGGACGCATCATGGGAAAGGAAAGTTCTGAAGAAGGTCACGTGGCTTCAAATACCAGGTAAAAGAAGCATAGTCTCTTAAACTGTAGGGGTCGAAGTAACTAAAGAAAAATAAAGAGTAACGTGAAAATACCGTGACGCGAATAGCGTTTGAATAGTTAGGGTAATTGTTTTCTGCCGTTGATGAGAATGGTGGATTTTGCGACCAATGGACTCTGAACAACACAGGTTCTTGGCAGATTTTTGATATGTGGATATTACGAGGATTTGCGCATTCAAAATAACTCTTTCTCATGCGCCTTCCGATTCTTAAACAGAATTTCAAAAGTCACTTAGTAAATTCCTAAGAAATTAATTTAGAAATAGTTACACGAATTGAGGTATTATTACTTTTAAAAGTGGTGTTTAATTCATCAGGCAGGCCAAGTTTCGTAACATCTCAGTGTAAAGCCACAAACCGGACAGTCCAGTTGTTTTGGAGCCAGCCGCCAAACGCAGTTGATGCCTATTACTTGGAGGCCGATATTTATCCACCAACCCGAGGCCCTAACGAAAAGGAGCACCATGAAACGGTGCAACTGTCTGTAGGGAAAGCTTGTAAATATATTCTGGAGTGCCCTCATTACAACTCTAAGGTTACAGCTAGGGTCCGTGCGTCAAACAGAGCAGGAGATGGACCTTTCAGTCAAGAAATTACCATTTATACAGACAAAGGTATTCAAAGAAATTAAGCATACTAGAAACATTTACGCTTCTCGGGGCTGCGCATGCCCAATTCGCCACTTGAGAAACTCGTGATAAGGAAACTAGGCCGAGTTAACTTTTGCAAAGACTTCTGGGACTGTTCCGACTAGAAACAGGGGGGAAGGGTGGGGGAAATGGCCAATAGCTGATCAGAGTGTCCCCAGTAACGATCCCAGAAAGCATTGCAGGACACATTTCGGCTCCAGTTCCCTTTTCGTTTCTAAAATGGCGAATGGTTTGACGGTGATTTGTAGCCATCTGTGGTGTCTTTTTCATTTGCACACCATAAAAACGAGTTCATCTCCAAATAAATAAGGAACTTTTTATCGGGAGAGAATATAATGACTTTTTGAGCACAAAAAGACGAACTATACGTCTTTCTGTTCTTGATTACACAAGACTCATAACCTTTACCAAAATTCCGCCTTCCAAAATATCCCCGAATTGTGTAATTACATTCACAATGACAGAAGTATTGTTAAAAGTTTCTTTAGTGTGCCCTACTGGTGTGCAAATTGGACCAAACGGTCTCCAAAAAGTAAGACTAAGGAGTTCAGAATGAAGTTATTTATGGGCGATTTGTTTCAAATTGTTAAATCGTTGGACCGCACTTATAATGAGTTCCTTAGTTGTAAATTGTAATTGAGCTCTTAAGAACTCGTTTGAATGTGTCCGTGCGTTCCAAATCGAATTGGAATTTGGAAATGTTGGTTTTTGACAAGAGGAGAAAACCGGAGTACCCAAAGAAAAAACTTCTCGGAGGCATCGTATCGTAGCCGAGCGGTTGGATCCCCGAGTTCAAGTCCCGCCCTGACCGCTAGCTGGATTTGTTCACGGTAGTCCCTAGTTCAAATCCTCGACCATGCTTGTAAATAGCCAGCTGCTTTGCCTCCGGCCAGTTGGGATTCCTTACCCTGTTATGTTTGATTTGAATTATTTGTTTCAGACACTTGCTCGGCCCCACTAACATAAGTGCAATAAATACTGCCGAGGGTAAATAAAGGAATTACTTACTTATTTTATTTATTTCGGAGGAAAAGAGAGAACCAACAACAAACTCTACTCAAATATGCGGTCGATATCGGGCTTCGCACCCCTAGGCTCCCTCGGTGGGACGAGGCGAGTGTTCTCACCATTGCGCCACCCTTGCCGCCGCATCAACACTGTACCCTGTTTTAACACTTTCCTTCTCAACAGGAATTAACTTCACGCTGGATCCCTCTTCAAAATTTAAACGGGAGCTTGTATTTTCTCGTGATCTCTCTGTGGCAAAATTGACAAGCCCAGTAATCGCGAATGTTACGGGTGACGTGGTGCTTTCAAGCGGTTGCCATTACTGGAAAATCCGGATTGACCAGTTCGCTGGATCTGCTAATAATGGATTCGTTGCTGTTGGTGTTGCTAAAGAGTTGCAAGAAGGGACGCCGATAGGTAAGATGACATATTGAGATTTTGAGATACGCCTAATTGCAATAACGTTGTCTTAGAAAAATGAAAAAGAAAAAAGCCAAATAGGACTAAATTAGCCTAATTAAGCCACATTCTCAGGGTGGATTCATTTGCAGCCGTTGTATTCCCCCCGCTGGAACTTTTTTAATTCTTTTTTTGCGTTAAAACAATAGCAATTTCCAACAGGCAAGTACGACGTCCATTTCTGATGCTGCACATGTGCTATGGCATTGTAGTTGTCCTGTGATCATAAACAAACTTAGACCCTGTTTACAAGGAGTGGGGGACCCCGGTCTAGTGGGGTAAGTTTCTTTTGTTTTGTGTCCTCCAGAGCGTGAAAACAAAAGAAACCAACCCCACTAGACAGGGGTCCCCCACTCCATGTAAACAGGCCCTTAGACGCCTTTAATATAACTACAGTCGAACCTCCAATAACAGCCACCTCTCTACAACAGCCATTTTTTTTGTTGTTGGAAAGTCTATACATTGACCAGGTGGCCATTGTAGACAGGTTCGACTGCATACTTCGCTTTTAACTACCCTCAAAAGGAAGGATTCCTTTTTTTTTTCAAACTGACCAATTTACAGGAATCCAAAAAGATTGATCGCACTTCTTCAATCGCTCAAACTCGTTCGTTTCTATTCAAGGAAATGACGGAAATTCCTTCGCCTTACAAATTTTTGAGAACACCACTTTATGGTGCGAAAACTCTCACAATCACCTTCAGACCAAGCAGAAAGCAAAAGACATCAAAGGCAGTAACATAGCGATTCTTCTCGACTTGGAACAACAAACAATGAACATTTACTGGAATGGCAGACTGCAGACGGACGACAGCCGCCCTGGCGGACCCTCCTTCGTAGGAGTAGTTGGCCCAGTTAAGCCGGCGTTTAGCGTGTTTGGAAGCTCTGTCCAGTTCAGTATACTGACTGGTTTGGAAAAACCAACTGTTTCCACTGGTAAGATATGTAGTTTGGTATCACTCTGTCCTCTGTCAGTCCATAATCCGGAACGAGCGACTGTTATACTATTGCCTTTGTCACGGCGTTTTCACCGACCGGTTTATTTTTAGATAAATTTTAGAGCGCTTTTTCCCGCGAAAATGGAAGCTCAGCTCCGTAATCTTAGCTCATTCGATATAAGATATAGAAAATGAAAACTAGTAAGTCTGTAGGTTTTGCTGGCTGCTTTTGTGAGACCTAAAGGATATTCTATATTCGCCTCAAAATCGTTCTGAAAATAAAATTGTCGGTAAAAACGTCGTGACACGAGTACACGTAATTTTCTCACTGCACAGGTTATGGGCTCCTGATCCTGCTTAATAAAAACGGATGCGTAAGGCCCAATGGACTAATCAGAACAAAAATGTTTGGCAAACGAATGAGTCTTAATTGGTTTTCTTATTAACAAATGGCAGCGCAACTTAGTGGATGAGATAAAAAGCAATGACCTTAATGACAATTCAGATAAGAGACTGGGAACCAGGTGTACATCGATACTAAACTGAAAGTTGTTGGAAAGGTGTTGGTAGCCATCCCCCCTCCCTCTCCTACGCATCATTATACTTGGACAGTTTGGTGGCTAGATCAGGATCGATGAGGCACTTTTTCCATATTTATTTATTTATTTATTTATTTATTTATTTATTAAATGAAAGAATACGCAAGACTTGCTTTGGCTACTATCCATCGACTCACTGTGAAATATCCCTTTTTTTCTAGGTCCTCCTATTATCCATCTCGAGGAATGCAGTGTCGAAAACACCAAAATCAACCTAGTGTGGTCTCCCCCTGAAACTGGTAATGTGGACTGCTACATTGTAGAGATCGACACCCTTAACCGGGAGGGGGACATCCACCAAGAGCGAATTTTTACCAAAGTATACCAAGGACCGCGCACTAAGTACACACTTAGAGGACTGGACTACAATGTTACGGTTGTTGCGCGGGTCAAGGCACTGAATACCGCTGGAGAGAGTGAACCTAGTGACGAAGTATCACTTTCGACTGAAAAAGGTGCGGAAATCTATTTCTAGATACAGTAGAACCTCAATAACTTGAATTATCCCCGCTAAATCGAACTAAATTTTCTTTCCTCTGATCAAAATTTCACTGAAATTCACTCCGATAATTCGAATTGCACGCTAACTCGAACTGTTTTTCGTTTCCCCTTTTAAGGAGGTCTTATTCTGATAAAGTAAAAAAAAAATTCAGAAAAGTTATATTTTTACAATGGTCCGAGCTCGCTACAAACTAATAAAAGAAATGCACTTTATCTAGATGTCAATGTATTTAGCACGAAAGTGCTGATTGGGGACACTACTTTTACGTCTCCTAATGGAGACGGGACCGCCATCTTACGTGGTCATCCGAGCCACGCGAAGGTCTCGCCGGTTGGAGTGCAAAGAGAGTACCTCCATTTCTCTGTTATTTTAAGACCCTCAGTAATGGTCCGGCCCAGGGAATCGAACCCGCGGCCTCCCGCTCGAGTCTTTTTTCCAGTGAAATGATAACGGTCAAAAGACATGATGTACTCGATATTTGCTTTGCTTTTTTAGGTGTTATGTTCAAACTGGATAAAGAAAACCTGCATGAATCTCTGGACCTCATCAGCGGAAATCTTACAGTGAAACAGTCAAGTATGGTTCACGCTAACGTGTTTGGAACAGCATTCCTTGCTGATGGTCGCCATTTTTGGACGGTGAAAATCGACAGCTTTAAAGGCGAAAACTCTTTCATGGCAGTAGGTTAGTTTTCAGAGACCGGGTTAGTTGCATCCATGAATTTTATTTTCTTAGTGTTTAACACTGATTTTCGAACATCAAGCAAAATTGGCTGGTTTTATACTTTTGCGTGGGTGAAATCTTGCCTCTTATATAGGTATATTAAAATCAAAAACTAAGAAAAGTTCATGCATAAGTGCATTAGTTTGTGTACCATAAAATAAGGTTTAATTTTACGATTCAGTTTAATAGCATCGTAAGAAGAAAATTGTTCCACATGTTCTCAGTTCTTATGCTTGCAGTTAAGCTTGCATACTTGAATGTTGCGCATCACTGAAGTGTATAGGCATAAAAATAAGCAACTAAGTAGGTAAAACCTCGTGTTCGTCACTGATCTGTTTGTCCGCCATCTTAGATTCAGATTTGGCACCAGATTTAGCCGCGCTAAAGGGCACTAAAACTTTTTGTGATCTTACCTTCGCTTTCACGTATTTCACATTGCTTTCGTTTATCTAAGAATTGTGAGTTCTTACAAATGCATCGTACGCGAAAACCTGTCCTGCCTCAATGATGCTAAACTAAACTACATGTATTACCATAACCACCGCAATTATGGAGAGACCTCTCGCCGCAACCCCCAATACACATCAGTTAAGTATAAGAAACTCAGTGTAAACACGGAACACATTGATCAGCATTTCTAGTCGTGTTTCTATATTGCCGTGGTTCTGTTCAGTAACAGATCAAAGAAGACGTCAAAATGTGGTAAAACATCAGTGACACACTCGCCTTCGGCTCGTGTGTCGCTCTTGCGCGCCCAAATTCCCCCTTCTTCCTTTCCTTTTTAATTAACGCCTGCCACCCAGGCTAGAACCTGCTGAGCCATGCTTTCATAAGACTGATGAAAACATACCTAAGAGGCTTATCTTTATTTGCAGGAGTAGCTAAGAAAACTACGCAAGAGTCAATTCCAGGGAATACATCCAGCTCGTACGCTCTCCAAGTATTTGAAGGCACTACAGCTCGCACCGAAAACTCCAAACACAAGATCCAGATCAAAAAGAAAGCCAAAGACCTGAAAGATAGCAGCTTTGGGGTTTTCTTGGACTTGAACAACCGTTTTCTAAACGTTTATCATGACGGCGAACTTCAAACGGACATAAGTCGCCCAAAAGGTCCTAGTTTCAAGGGACTGAGCGGAGAGTATTGCGCTGCTTTGTGTCTTTATGGCACCAAAGTGGAGTTGAGTATGGTCACTGGAATAGAAACACCTTTGCCACCTGGTATACATCAACTTTTCTTTTGTCTTTTTTGTTCTGAAAATGGCACTGGATACATAAAAAACTCTTTCTATGAAAATCATATTTCAAAATTAATAGCTCCATGAAAAGTGACAGCGTCAAGGTTATCTAGTTTGTTTTGCTGATATTGTCAATTGAACGTCCTTATTCGTAATGAAACTTTCTGTTAGCGACGAAATTTCTGGCAAGTTTCAAAACCACAGCTTCATGCCAAAAGAATATGTCTCGCAAGGGCTATATCAAACGTTACGGACAACAAAAATGAACTAGTTGGAAAAAATATTAGGCTAAGCACAATCAAAAACCACAATTGCAACCGTTTTAATCTTCTTCAAGTTTGTCCATCCGCGCCTTCTTTTGTAATTGTTGTGTTCAGTTCTTATATTGTTATTTTTATGTTTCACTCAATTTGGTAGCAGTTCAGTCCCAGACTTAATATCGATTAATATGGTGGCATAGCTCCTTTAAAGTTTACTCTTGAATTTTATATTATTATGAACTCTTTCTTAATCGGCTTGGGTGTGACAGTCTACAAAAGAACCCTTAAAATGATCGACTTTTCTGTAGACTATTTAACAATTATTCCTCGATCTGAGTCAATAGCCCATGAGGCTGAAGGCCGAATATGCTACTGACTCAGAGGTCATGAGGGCGAAAGGAATAATTGTTGAACTAAAATCCAACTAGTTGGTCAACAATATCAAAACAAAACAACTTTTTAAAGCTAGACTTTAATCCTTTTTTGCCGCCAAGAAGCCGGGCTCTTTGATAATAGACCGCACTAGTTGGATTTTACTAACACATATAGGATAGCTGTACCCATGAGCCACTGTGTGCGGAAAGTCTACTGTTGAGTATAATGATGTACAGGATAATAAATTCTAACATATCTCATCAACTTATATCATTTTACAGTACATTGAATGATATCTGTAATATCAGCTCAATTGTAGCTTTGTCTAGCACCACGCACACATAAATCAGAGGTCAATAATCCCATCTATACATTTTCTCTGCCTCCCGGTTTGTCTTGTAGATCCGCCATCATTTAACAAGGGCAGATGTAAAGTGAACAACACTACAGTTCTACTAGGTTGGCTACCTCCAGAAACCAAGTGCTGCGTAGATTATTACGTACTCGAGGTGGACATGGTCAAAGCATCCGAATTCGCTTGGCACAAGAAAAAAAATCGCAAATTTAAACGACTCTACGAGGGTTCCGCGCGAGAATATGCGTTGTATAGCGTGCCATATAGCGTGAAGATCATTTCACGCGTGTTTGGAGTCAACCCAGCCGGTGATGGAACTCCTAGCGACGAATTTGTGATGTCTACGCCAAAGGGTAGGTAATTTGTACGTGGTGAGGTCATCTAATGGTTAATAAGGAATGAATGACGAGGAATAAGCTGCTTGTATAAGGAGGACCTACCAATAAGTCTAAAACGCAAGTTGTTATAATGAAAGTCATACATCTTTGCTTGAGACAAATCGCGGATGATACTTTAATCTTGCACAGACTTGAGATGCTTGGTCTTGTCATAGTTAATAGAGTGGAATGATTAGGTAGCCCGGTAGATTCCTTTGATATGTGTTCAAATGTCTTCTCTGTGCACAACATTCGATAGATCATTCGATCATTTTGATGTAATTGACCATTTATTAATTCCTTAACAATTCGTGAACAAAAAAACCCAATGGATTGTGCACCGTCAGGGTAGCTCCTAAGATGAACATAAACTGCAGCACTGTTGTTATTATCTTTGATGTTTGCCACCTTACAAAACCAGCCTCCACTGCAAACTCTGGTCTTGTCTCTTGTCTTAACTGTAACCGCTTTATAACACAACTGTGTGCACCAGATTTTGAATGGGGATAGGGCCCCAGTAGTGAGGTTAAATTCTCGTTGAATCCCAGTAGAAAAGAAGACAGAGATAACGGTCAGCTCTCTCTAGGACACGGAACACCCTTGAGACCGGCACTAAGTGACCGTCTCAAAAAGATGTCCGTCCTATAGAGGGTCAAATAAAGGGATAAGGAAAGGTAGGGACCAACTCTAGGTGTCCGTTTTAGCGAGGTGTCTGTCTTATAGAGGTCTCCGTTAAGAGAGAGTCGACTTTTGTGATAAAGTTAAATTGTTTTCCAGGGCTTTATTTTCAACTGAATCCTTCATCAGCAAACCATGATTTGGATCTGGCCAATGAAAACTGCACAGTGAGTCTAAAGAGTCCCGTGTACACCTACATTTTGGGAAACGTCAAGTTAGACTCCGCCTGCCATTATTGGAGAATTCACGTGGATGAATTTAACGCTCATAACAAGCTCTCTATCATCGGTAGGCAGACTTTAAACTTTAATGTCACCGGGAAACGGAAACCCTAACCTGGGAATGCTTGTTTATCCTTTCCCGATCTTCCTACTATACTCAGGCCGGGGCTAATGATAGTAGCTGTAGTTGACTGCGCATGACAAAACATTGGCCTTTTTAATGCTTGAGACGGGCATGAAGTGGCAGATGCATTTAACGTCTGAGACGTTCAAGTCGTCTAGTGGTTTAAAAACGGGACCCGTAAAAGTAGACGACAACATTGAAACAAAAAAACAGAGTTTTCTGGAAAAACAGCCTTGCTGGCCGTTTTTTCACGAGGGCACAAATGCATTCCAATTTTCAGTGTCCCGTTTTCATACAAGGCGCATTGAACGACTGAGACGTTATAGCCATCAAACCGCGTTAAATGCGTCTTATCTACCGTTTTCCTACTAGTTAAAGTCGTCTTACCAGCATGAAAACAGCGATTGCAATTAGGAGTTCTACGATTAAAGTTTTTAACATCATAACTTAAGGGCCTGAATTCAAACGGCGAGAATTGTTGTCCTCAAAATTATTATTTTTATTGGATGGTACCGTTAGGCTCCATGCTTACTAAGAGTCTGGAGTCATAGAATCAAAGACCTAACCCAGCACAACACTCTGTAATATCAGTTTGCTTTTTTTTTTTGCTCCCGCTCTAACAACTCGACTGGAAACACTTGCTACGCAGGCTAAGTTTGCTTTGACCTTTGCCTTTGATCCTTGCTCGCCAGGATTCCTTGAGCGAATAATTATGGTTGCCCCCTCTTTCAATACAAACACAACCACACGTCTCCTCCAGCAAATGTAACCTGTGCTGTTTGCCTCTCTCTCTGCACAGGTGTTGGTATTGCTCGTCAAGCTCTCGAGGATCCAATACTAGGAGAAGATTCTGATTCTTACGCCGTGCAGATCAACGAACATCCAAATGCATCATGCTCCAACACTAAGAACCGGCTTCAAATCAAGAGGTCATCCAAACAACTTACTCACGCAAATATAGGCGTGCTACTGAACTTGGATGAGCACTTTCTAAATTTGTACCTCAATGGTAAGATTCAGTTTATCTGGGTTGTGGCGGCTGAGGTAGGGTGGGGGGGGAGGGGTAAGGTAGGAGGGGGAGTCAGTAGTAGGGTGATGTATTTGATTTGGTGCCTCTGCACCCGGAATTTTCTGGAGCAGGAGCCTATGAAAATGGATTTTTCAAAGTTTCCTACTCTCAAGTTGATATACTACCATACACTCGCTTGAGGGTTTTTTTAAAAGCCCTTTTTTTCAAATTACTTACGACATTTCTCTTTCCTCTATTGGTCTTGGACCGCAATTGTACGCCTTGCATTGGCTCCTTTAATTTTTCTGTTTACTCGCATCGTCCCGAAATTACCAAGTTTAAATACGTGCCGGCCATATAAAGGAGTCAATGAAAGACACGGATGCCAGCTTGTCTTTTTTTCATCCAGGGATGTTACCTAGTAAGGTTTTGTTCCCATTCTTCATTTTCCTGTTCCCTGCGTTCTCGTTGCACGCTCCCCGTTTTAGTTATATCCCATCATCTAGAGAGAATAGCTCATTTTGTCTTGCATCATCTTATCTTTACATCCTGTATTCTCCTTTTTCATCAGGGAAACTCTTGACTGATCCTTCCAGACCAAACGGACCAACATTTGTGGGTATAATAGGAGAGTTCTATCCCGCTCTAAGTCTGTACGGGACTAACGTCAAACTCACGGTTCACACTGGAGAGTCCTACGATGCTTGAACAGGATTATTCTAAATCGAAATCATTGCACATAAGGTTTACGGGAAGGATTTGAGAGCCCGTGGACTCTAGACATTCTTGTTCCCAGAGCCACGCCTTTTAGCCCAGCGCCACGGATCTAGAATTGGCGCTTGCTAAAACGATCGCGGATCTGGCAACAAGAATGATTCCTGAGTTGAACAGAAAATTTACCGGGTTTAATAGTTCACTGAACCAGTTTCCGAAGCATTTAGGCTTCCTTCTTCTGCAGTTGTTTTTAAGAGTGAACTCAAGGGGGCTCTTCCGTTCTCATTGACTGAAAACCTTGTCTTCAACGATTCCCTCCGTGATTTTCCCGGTACCAGTTAGTTGAATCGGGCGGGGCCTTTCATCAACAAGTTAGAACCAACTTCTTATGACCATCTACAGCCGAACCTCCCATAAACTAGCATCCGAAATGCGAAAATTTAGTAGTCGCTTACGGGAGGGGGTCGCACAGGGAGGTTCGACTGTGCATTAACCCCTTGGAACAGGCCAATTGGATAGAGAGGCAACCGGTTATGAGGCCAGTATGCATTCATATGAATTAATGTACCAAGTGCTCATCGATCAGAGACGGTTATTTGGAGAGAATGAACTCTTGCGCAGACCTATAAAGAAGTTGGAAGCGAGGCTGGACATCTGCATGATATTAAAAGAGAGTGGGACTGTATGCATGTTTTACCTAGAGCCATTTATAAGAGGAAAAGGCGAAACCGGTACCACTCTTACGAGCATGTCTTGGAAAGAGGTCAGAAAATGGCGTGCGATTTGGAGTTACGGCAGCATGTTGCAACCTGTGACAGAGGAAACATTTTTAGACGTTTTTGTTGGGGGAGGGGGGCGGGACGTTGGACGTTTGTACTTGCTCAGGCAGATCTGATATAATTGTCAACAAGATCAGAAGTTGCCTATTCTTTGCAACCTCCTTTTCTCAACTCTGCCAGAAGGCCCCTTTAGAAAAAAGACACTGGAAAAACAAAAAACTAGAAACTAAATAATGATAATAATAAATAGGTTACAGACAGCGGAGGGTAAACGGAAAACTGTGTAAATTGGAAAAAAAATTCCGGCCCGTCCGCGGGAAAATTTTACCGCTAAATCTGAAAATAACGCATGCAAATTATGTGTTTGCGTTCTTAGTCATTTGTAAGATGTTTTCTTTGTCTCAACCAAGACGCGTCTTATCTAAGAACAGGGGTTAGGGGCAACCTTAAGGTCAGATTACAAGCAAGCTTAACAATGGTAATTGCAAATTTATTGACAGACAACCATGCCTACGAAATATGAAACGACACAGTCAATAAGTAAAATGTTTTAACTGCATCAAACAAAACCAGACGAAAAATTGTCTCTTGCTATGAAATCATATCCTACCAGGCTATCTGAGATATTGGTGGAACAAAGAAGTGTATGATCAACACCATTAGTGGCTGCTTATAAGCCCTGGGCAGAGCTTAAAAATGGGGTTTTGATGCTTAAAAAAGTTTTTTGAATGGGATTCATGTTGTGATGAGGACTTGTTTGGTGTCTTGCAGAGTTGCCCTTAACTGCTTTTACCAGCAGAATTGCCCAGCCACTTAGCTATCTTAGCTATCAGAGTTTTGATCATTTAGCTACCTTGCAGCTTGTTTTCCCTTCAGTTTTTTCTTGAGAATGGGTTAACAGCACACCCTCAAGGAAAACTTCTTAGTGTGTTTTTTTGCCACTAAATGGAGGCTACATTATTGCACTTGCACAGCTGGTTTTTCGCAATAATATAAGTTGAGACAGTCAACGTGCAAAGAAAGGCGTATCCAATAGGCCAGGGTTAGTGCATCTTGCTATCAGGCTAGCAAAAAAGTCTGTTCTAGACTTGCCCTATGGGCAAGTGAAGTTTTCTGGGGGATTTATATTACAGAAGAGCTGCAATCAAGCCCATTCATCAAAAAAATTTTCAGGCTAGTTAAAATACCTCTTGGGCCAGTACATGCTAGCTATTAAACTGACTTTCTTTGCACCTTGGACAGTGCCATTTACCCAGTCTTTTAATCAAGATGGCACTCTTTAGCCTTTAATTATTCCTTTTATTTCAAGAATAAAATACAATATTATTGGATGCAGGTTTTGCAAAATGAAAATAATAAGTTTTAACTACATGTAGTGCTGATTTAATACGAAATTTGCATGGAAAAATAAAGAGAGGCCATCTTGAAAATCCAGACTTAAAACTTTCTTGGGGAGCATACCCCCCCTCCCAGCCCCCTACCCTCTAGTGAGGAGAACCTTTGGTGCTCTGAAAATAAGTAGAAATGCAAACTGTCAAACATACTACTAAAAGTAAACACTTTTGTTTACATATAAACATTTTTACCTTTTATACATCCAGATGATCATTGATGAACAATCAAAGCTACACTTGTTTTCAATTACAAAGTGTAGCTGATCATTATTGTCAAACTAAAAATCATATGTACCCACAAGTTCTGTAAAGTGGCATCAACCAGCAAGGTAGTTCTTGCTATCAGCTCTACAGTCACTGATAGTGTTCTTCAGATGTGTAAAAAGCATTCACAGATATGCAGTACAAGCAATCTTTGCTTTTTATGGCAAGCTACCTCTTTCTCCACAAGTTCATGCAATCTTGTTTACAACAGCAGTATGAAGTGAATTGACCTGTGTGGTCCACCTGTCCAGGCCGGCAAATCTATCAAAACTTTGTGAGGTTCTGGTCAGTTCTAGAAGCTGGTTGACCTGATCTATGCGGCCATGAATAGTATTGTCAAGTATACAGGAAACAAGGAGGCTTTCAACCTCTTCTGTATCAATGTTCAATTCCTTTGAAATAAACGGAATATGAATCCTTGTGTATGGCTTGATCAGTTTAATTAACACTTGCGTTCGTATGTTTCTTAACAGGTCTTCTATGTGCTCCCTAATGAAAGGGTCATCCATAATGTTCTTACGGTTGGTCTTAAGAATTTTTTCAAATTCATTGATGTCATCATTTTGGTAAGCACTGACAAGATTGGTCATAGCAAGAATCTCCGGGTCATTTTTGTAAGGTTTTGCTTCTTGTGAATCAAAAGGATTAATCCCAGACTTCATCAGCATGTTAGCCAACACCAGATATTTCAGGCAAGTTGTGCGTCTCCCGCTACCAGACTCATCATAGTTCTTGAAAGCCTCAAAGAAATCGGTGTGCGCTTTCTCATAGTCACCTTCTCGCAGGTGCATCTTTCCACCACATTCACGAATGACCCCCATAATCAGCGGGTGCGGGATAGCAGACTTGATGTGAAGTGACTGCTCATACAAAGCTTTCAGCTTCTTGTTATTCTTCTGTGCAGTGTACATTTGAATCTCCAGTGCATAAATTTCAAGCAGCTGCGTTCCTTTCTTGAGATCATCTTCCCCTTCATCGGTTTGGCAAGATTGGTGAAGCTGCTTTAAAATCTTTGCCAGTTTGGTGAACTCTCCTCTATCAAAATACAACTTTCCCAGCTTTGTGTTTGTCTTAAACCACAGCCTATCGTTCTTAGCATCTTTAAGGGCCTCCAGAGTGGTCTCATAAAAATTCTGCAGCAGCTCCATCTGTTTTGAAGTGGAGATGTAATCCAGGATGGAGTTAATGGACTTCTCAGAGTGGTTCCGTGTGACAGCACTCTTAATGTAAGTCAACAACTGCTGGTATCTGGTCATCATCTCCTCATAATGACCCAGTTTGAAGTTGATCTTAATCATCTGTTTCAGAGCCTTAAAACCCCACTCTCCCTTCTCAGACTCAAGATCCAGTACTTTCTGGAAACTCTCTAGAGAACCTTTAGGATTATCTTCCTTCAAAGCTTTGGAGTTGTAATACTGGTTTTCTAAATCGACGTCTGGCTCTGAAGCACTGTCTTCTGAGTACTCCAAGTCATACTCCTCTTCATCATCACACATGAAGTCATCATCCATGTCAGACATTTTGAAAACAATCTGGAAAAAGAGAACCTTTTAGTCTAAAACCCCATTTACATGCGCTAAAAAAATCGGCACGGCACGCCAAATTTTTGGCACTGTGCCTTGCTGGCTTGTGCCAAGACTACCTCCAGGAGGTAGTCTAGGCAACCCTAAAATTTTGCGAACTAGTGCCACATTACATTTGGGACCGATACGTTTACACATCAAAAAGTGGGAGTGCAGTGCCTTAAAATCATCAGTACGGAGTTGAAAATTTGGTATGCCGTGCCAATTTTTTTAGCGCGTGTAAATGGGGTTTAAAGCTCATGTTACTATAAGACTCTTGAAAATCTAATGCTGACAAAATGTTCCCAACTTTGTAGTGAAACCATACATTGGTTCAACACTTAGTTACAATATTTTGACATTGCATACCAAGATGAGAAAAGAAATATGTAACATGCTTCATGTATTTTATATCTCATTCAATTCTTGCTACTATATGTTCTAGCCTGTGAAAACAGCCATCTCTCCTTGCTCCTCACCAATAGGGACATTTCACCAGGAAGGACGTCTGCCGTCAGTGACAGAAATACAATACTGATTATGGAATCAATGTTAAACATTATTAATGCAGTAGTAATGGGGTAATCCAAGTATATATTTGTTCAATTTCATGTTTCTCCTGGTCGATCATGGTAAACTTTTCTTCAAAACTCAAATAGTTCAGGCAAAAAAGATTATATTCCATAAAAATTGACTGTTTTGTACTAGATTTATCGCATTTACATTTGACCTTTGTGACTGTTTTCTTTTTGTATGTTGTTCATAAACAATAGCTAAAACAATATAACTAGTACATTGACGAATCAGAGCTCATGACCAGATTCTGGACAGATTTTAGATCATCAGTATTGAATTTCTGTTGCTGAGTCGCAGTCATCTCTCCTAGCGAAATGTCCCTAGCAGCAAGGAGCAAGGAGAGACGGCTGTTTTTGCATACTATATATGTTCAGAAATAAGAATCAAAGAAAGACTATCGTCAACTCGTGGGTACGTTGTTTAGAAAATAATCAATTAGTTATCACCTCTGGTTTTCCCACAGT